CTTGTGAGATGGCACTTTATTGAAGACACGTTCACTTAACATCAGGCGGCGACCCCCCCTGCAGCAGCCCCAAGTCTCCTGCGCATCTCCCCCTTTTATACCGACACGAGGCCACGCCCCCCTTCTCGAACCTTCTCGCTGACTCTGGACGCTCGCTCCACCGACAGACTCCACCGTCCTCTTCCGTCACCTGACCACGCTCCCTTCTCGATCATTTAGGTGGCCACCAGTCCCTTCGCATTCACAGCTGACTCCCCAGTCATTACCTCCCGTGGCCACCAGTCCCTTCGCACTCACAGCTGATACCCCCGTCATTACCTCCCGTGGCCACCAGTCCCTTCACACTCACAACTGACTTCCCTGTCATTACCTCCCGTGGCCACCAGTCCCTTTCCACTCACAGCTGATAACCCCGTCATTACCTCCTGTGGGCCACCAGTCCCTTTCCACTCACAGCTAATGCCTTCGTCATTACTTCCCGTGGCCACTAGTGCATTCACACCGCATGTAGACTCTACTGTAGACTCTACACGTGTAAACTATTACTCTACAGAATGGTTCATCATTGAATACCACGATGTTTCCCCAGCGCAGAATTGGCAGTGCGTGTGTGTTAGTATGTGTACATGCTTGTCGGTGAACATGAGCTGCAGCACGAACAGGTTTCACATCGGGACTTGTGCATTTACATTTTGACCATGACATTTTTTCTCAAGGGACAAAATGCGCATAACCTGCAGTTTTGTTTTGTGATCATTTTAATCAAGCATTTACTCTTTTTTTAATAGTCATTGAAGGAGGCATTGCGACGCTCAAGAGAAGAATGCGAGGAATTGAAAAAAATAAATAAAGAGGAAATACGTGCCATGAGTAAGTATTGCATTTCAGTGCATTTTATTTTTAAAGACTTGAAAACTAAGAATGAAATGCATTTTGAATGTACACAATTATCATTATTTAATAGTCACATTTCCCAAATTGTAGGTCATGAAGATGTAGACTGGCATAAGGGTGTAAGTTGGGCAGACTTTTCCTAAAAGGCGAGAGTTCCAAAAGACTGTGGATCAGGTACAATGCAATGTGGTTTTGTAATGTGTTCATTTTTTTAAATTGTTTTTCAGTGAAGGATGGCGCTGAAGAAATTGCAGAACAATTCACAAACTACAATGAACAAGATGACCAAGTCAATGAGAGCAGTCCAAATGTGCGACGAAGAATTTCTCCTCCAGAAAATGAGGCAGGAGGTAATGAGGGTGCCAACACAATTACAGGAGATGAAGATAAGCCAACACAGTATGATGGTCACTACTCTATTCAGCCTATCAAAAATGCAATGCACAAACACCTTTTCAAGATATACAACACTTGCAATTTGGCAGTCTTAATGTCATTTGCAGAATATGTAAAGGAAGCCTTTGTCTACTTTGCTTGCAGTGTTGTGGTGTCTTTTGCAAAACGAGGTATAACAGCAATCACTCCACTTTTTACAAATGTTTCGGAATTCACAGGCAGCGTATTCAAGAAGGTTGCAAATACATGTTGGGATATGATAAAAGGATTTGTGAAAATATCACGAATTTTTTTTTATAAAATGATGAGTGCTCTTTGCAACAAAGATCATTTTCAGCATACCCCCGTGGGATCTACAGTATCATGACTTAGTTACTTAGTGGATGTCATCTTGATGTGACAAGTCTACATGGGAAGTATTAATTCAAATTTTCATGTCAATCTTCTTACATGTTTCACCTTTGCATTATTATTTGACTCAAGGATCAATACTGGATGTGCACAATCATTTAACGTTTAAATTTTTGAAAAAATGTATTATGCATAAACATAATTGCTTTAACAAAATATGAACGAACCTACGTAAAAATTGTCGACCATTACAAAATGCTTAGATTTATATTCAACCTAAAACACTACACAGGCAGACCTGGACAATTCCGTGCTGGGCAAAGCCGTATTCGAAAAATAGTAGAGCTCATGGGAAAAATAGAGTTGCTTTCCGGGGTCCAAAATGATCACCTCCCTCTTTGTTTAACGAATTCTACATGATTTACGCCCTTGTTATTGTACTAAAGGATGCTGAGTCAATCTCCGTTCCTTGTGTGTGCGTACACTTTTTAGTTTTCAATTTCACTTCAACACAAAACTCCCATCTCCACTCCTTCCCACACCTCTGCACGCATGCCCAATGCTCGCCCCTGACACTGAAGTCCCAGCCCCACGGTCACCCATAACACTTCAACGTGAACGACTAACGTCAAATACTGGCCGGCTAGATGCATGCATAATGTATTAACATTGGCCTCGTGCTGTTGTGTGGATTGAGTGTTACATTATCACACAAAAAACCTACACGGCAAGTAAATCATTCTCGCAGTCGATTAATTCGCACCTTCCAACGGATGCAGCACTCTCACTGCACTACTGTTTCAACGTGGAGGTGAAAATTTTAGCAGCGTGAAACCGCGTTGAGCCGCTTCGTCGCCTTCGTGTTCTGGAAAACAGACCGCAATAGGTACACAGCGTGTAGCTGAAACACGCGTTCAATAGGTGTAGAGTTGCGCAAGGTTTTCCTGTACTGTACCACCCCACCCAACCCCTCCCCACTCAGCCCCACCCTCCCCACCCAGCCCCTCCCCACCCTCCCCTCCCCACCCAGCCCCTCCCTGCACGACGGACGGACACAATAATCCCCTGTGGGCTGGTGTAACCAGTGGGTTCCTACCACTATAATGGGTGTCTACAAATGTAAACACTGCATCTCAGCTGTGCTGGATCAGTGCTCTGCACTCTGAGCCATTTGACTGGCCACCTCCAACTATCATTGATGTACTTAAATAAGTTTGCTTATTAATCATTCTGCTTTGATCTCACAGTAAAAATGGGACGAGGATGAACCCACGTGTACGTGACAGTTTTCCCGTGTACGTATCCACAGTAAGGGCATAGGTTGTTTTGGAAGAACGTGTTCAGTTTGAGAACATAACTGCATTGTGTTTGATGAATATTTTTCAATTTAAGTTGCACTTCTCAGCAAGATTTCCGAATGGATCCTTTGTGTTGGAAAAGAAAACTGTTTTAGCTATAAACCATTGTGCCTTCAATGACCTCTAAAGGGTTGCTAACCCTCTGGTGTTTGACTAGCTTGTCTGTTTTTAAACTTTGCTGTACAATGTTTGTTCCACGTCTTAAAGCAAACGTTAAAAGTCTATTATTTTGCACATTTGCACTGCATAAGGTGCACACACCGCATTATAGAATGGATATGGGACGGTTAATTGGTAAAATAAATATGATTGGTAAAATTGCTTAATGTTATTGTCAAGAAAGAGGGTATGTTAACATTTTTAAATGCAAAGGAATGGAATTATTTGAACATTGTACAATGTACCATGTATAATTGTTCAATATGTTCACTTTGTAATGGGAACTTACTTTTGGTTTTTAAAGCTTTGGTTTTGACTGTGAAGCATGCTATATATGAATAACGATATATACTGCCCTTAGAATAAATGGAAATTTGGTTGTGGAAATCTCACACACGTGTATAATTATGTGTATGGATGCAAGCACATATGGAATCCGATGATAATTTCACTGTGGCTTTAATAACTCATCCATTCAAATGATTGTCTCAAGTTGGTAGTCCAGAGGACTTTGTCACATTTCTCTGTGCTGCACCGAGGCTTTCGAGCACACCACGAACTTCACCAAGAGGTCCACAATTTCGTTTCGGCCACAACGCAAGTAGCCGTCCTCTTCACCTGCGTTGTGGCCGAAACGTCGTGAGAATTATTTTATTATGTTTTATTTTTATTATTTTATTACTTCCCTTCTACGTGACTTTACCGAAAGAACCAAGAAGATGGGTCCCTCCATACTTCACATTGATCAGTGCCGGTGGGGCCAGCAGTTCAGATATCACCACAACGACATCTCGTGGTCGTGATGATGTTGCAGTACGTGGAGAATATAAATTCAGTTAAAAGCGATTTAGACAGTTCACCAAACATTGATTCAAGACGAACGTCACTCTGCTGACAAGACGCCGTTTGTCAAAACCGGTCCAGAGTTTTGCTCGTCTTCATCAATGCTGCTGATATTATGTACTCTCAGAAGGTTCTCGGGCCCATGGGTTATAACTATAAGATTTAATTATGCAGATATGAACACATTCCTGTAGAGGGAGCTGGTAGGAACGTTGGGTTGCTCGGTCAATGGCCAGGGTCAACGGCGGCGTGGTGTATTCCGCAAATATGGCCGACTGTGAGGGCGGGCACAAGCCGGCGTGAGTAGGTTAAACGTTGAGTTTTATAAGGGCACCACGGGGTGACCAGCCCCTCCCCACCCAGCCCTCCCACCCCCTACCCAGCCCCACCCAGCCCCTCCCCACCATCCCCACCGAGCCCCACCCCACCCAGCCCCTCCCTGCACGACGGACACAATAATCCCCTGTGGGCTGGTGTAACCAGGTTCCTACCAGTATTAATGTGTCGTTAAACCCGCCACCAACCGGCACAGCCAACTAGTAAGGGTTGTCACGTAAACAGCACGTGGCCAATTCGTGACTCGTACAGCACCACCAGTGTGTTGGAGAGCCAAGCCACAACATTTACACTCTGAGTACGACGTTTAGCCAGTAATGATACATTGGTCGCGAAAGCCTATGTGTTAAACCTCAGTACTGTGTGAGGTTTAGCGTGAACCAGTGTGCCACCGCTCTTCCATAACATTAATTAAAGTGCTTAATCATCGTAAAATAAGTGGAGCTTAATACAAACACGTGGAGATAAAACCGTAAGGATTTAGAATCGCAAACATTTGTCACGCCTAACGTAATCGACACCGCGAATCGACTTTTAGATTCCGTTGGATCTAACGTTCTGAATCGATGCGCTTGAATCACGATTTCGATCCAATTGTCAAGAGAGAGGAGGTTGAAATTGTTTAGAATCGATTCTTCTTGAATCGCTTCATCAATTACATCCGATTCCGGAAGTGTCTGCTGGGCGGAGAAGGGCATGGCCAAGGTACGGAGTTGAGCTTGTCCAGAGCCACGCTGCCCCGTGCTGCCCTCCCCTAACCAGAGCCACGCTGCCCCGTGCTGCCCTCCCCTAACCAGAGCCACGCTGCCCCGTGCTGCCCCCCCCTAACCAGAACCCTGCTGCCCCGTGCTGCCCTCCCCTAACCAGAACCCTGCTGCCCCGCTCTGCCTTCCCCTAACCAGAACTCTCCTGTCCTGTGTTGCCCTCTTATCGGGAACCCTACCCCGTGCTGACCGTCTCTGATCCAGTACACTGCTGCCCTGTGCTGCCCTCTTCTAACCAGAACCCTGCCCGTGCTGCCCCCTGTCATCCAGAACCCTGCTCTTAATACTGTGCCCCCTCTGAACAAACACTATCCTGTGCTACGCCGTTGTATCTAGAACTCTGTGTTGTCCGATGTTACTACTCAGAGCTCTCCACTATTTCTGCGCCCTCTTTCAGCCAAGACCCTGCGGCCTTTTAAACAGGAACCCCTCTGCTGCGCTGCACTGCCCTGTCTTCGTAGTAGTCGTGTAGGGGGCTCAAATGGAGACTCAGACATACACTTGGAGGCAGCAGGTTTATTAACATTAGGGGCCGTCCATAAATGACGTCACGCAACTACGGGGGTCAGACATGTGTGACGATGGGGGGGGGGGGGCGGTTTGAGAAATGTGACGTCACATGAAAATGCGCAACTTTAAATAAATAAAGACAACACGTTCTACTTACTTAAATAGACTTTTTAATGAATGTTTTCTCCTACAACATCAGAGTGCAGCGCCACATTAAATACGCACTACAATGACAATAGTTTTCTTTTTGGGGGGGGTGGGGGGCAGAGCTTTGTGACGTCATATTTGAGGGGGGGGGGTCTGACTTTGTGACCCCGTGTGACGAAGCGGGGGGGGGGTCAAACATCGTCCAAAATCGCGTGACGTCATTTATGAACGGCCCCCTTAACACGTTAACACAAGGGGTAACTGCCCCTTCACCACATAGTTCGCTACGTTGGTGGACCACCAGGCCATCTAACCACACGTAGCTGGCTACAATGGACCAGACCCCTGGCTCGGGTCCGGGTCCTCGTGTTGGAGACTCCGTAGAACTTGGAACGTGGACATGGAGTCTTCGGGATGAACAACAGCAGCCGGTCCCAACGGGGGCCCGGCTTCTATTCCGTGTGGCAGGGCTCGCTGCTCCGCGAGCCGCGACCCCCTTCTGGAATCCTCGCGGAGGTTCTGCAACTCCACACGTGATCCCCCCAGCCCCCCTTTGGGGGTCCCCGGGTGTAGGTACCTCCGGTCACGTGTCCTCCGGGGTCAACCAGAGTGCCATGGCCCCTTTGAAACCCCGTTCCGTCGTCGGCACCCTCTCACCCCATCCTCGAGGGCAGAGGTGGGGAACCGTTTTTCTGCCAAGGGCCATTTGGATATTTGTAACATCATTCGCGGGCCATACAAAATTATCAACTTAAAAATTAGCCTGCTATATTTGGCCAAACATTTAATTTACTCGCCCCTAATTCGATGGCTGGAACTGCTTCTCTTTGGCGAGGCGTGTGATGTTAGCTGGTATTGATGATGTTGCTACTCACTTTTCCAGGTTTGTTCCTAGATTTATCGAATGTCGAGTCCCGCCTGCGTTTGCCTTGGCAGGGCCACACCAAATGATTTTGCGGGCCTCGTACGGCCCGCGGGCCTGGACGTTCCCCACGCCTGCTCTAGGGGGGCTGGAACTGCACGCAGCGCGTGGTGCCATCCATTGCTGTCAATCAGGCGCTCACCGAGCCCCGCTTAGGGCCGGTGATGCATCCACATTCCAGGCGATGTCAGCTGATGTCATTACATCGCACGCCGTGCCTCTCCCGGACCGGCTTGTCACTGCAGTCGTACTGGCCAATTCTGCGCTATCTTATGCAGAACCCTTCCCTGTGCTGGCCTTTATTAGCCAGACGCTTCCTCTGCGCTGCTCTGTGTGCTCCCTCCCCCCTCCACAACAGGGTCCGTCTTGGGACACGAGTCTCGCTGCCGCTGTCCCAATGCCGCCCCGTGCTGCCCTCTGACGGCGCAGAATCCGGGTTGGGAGGAAGATGAGGCGGGTGACCGTCTTCCCCAATGGCTGCAGGAGGAATGGAAAGGTGACGTCATTGTCAGTCGTCATTCGTCACCACAATCGTCATCGCCATCATCATTGCCACCATTTTCAGGGCCCAAATCAAGGACGCTTCACTCCTCTGAGCGGCTGCGGAAAGTTGCAAATCAATGGACAACAAAGCTTGCGCAGCCCCCAATAAACACCCAAGGCGCTGGGAGCATCTGCACTTCGCCAACTTGCAGACAAAGCAACGGAATTAATTAATCACCCAGACCTGCATCTCTAATAGTTGCTCTTCATAGGCTTTGTAAAAAAAACAGAGTAGAATCCTAAAATGTCACGGTGGAAGAGTAGGCCAAAATACCCTCTAGAGCGGCACCCCTCTCGAGTTCCCTCTAGTGAAAGCTCCTTATCCAGCAGTGCCATGAGCAGGACATTTCAGGGCTGCACCTCACCTATATAGTATCGTTGTCTATACCACGTAGACTTTTTGAGAGCGCTATGAACTCCGTGACCTCTTGAGTTCACGTGTGTTTTGGTTTATCCGTGGGTTTTTTTTTGGTTCTTTGCCAGGTGGTGGCTGTCTATGGCTCGCTGTCCGATCTGCTGTCCCTCGCCGGTACAAAGCTGGGATTTAAGGCCTTGGCAATCTACAATGCCCACTGGCGGGCTGATTGATGACGTCTGCCTGATCAGGTGAGTCAATGCCAGCTTCGTAGCCACCTCTCTTCCAGAGGCCAAACCAAAGACATTTCTCGGTCGGCCTGGGTGTGTCGAAACCATGCCACTGACAGATGTCGGCACAAACCAATTCCTGCCACCAGGATACGGATCACGAACAGTGTATTAAACTGGATGCTAAGTCCCGAACTGTCCGGGTCACACCAGGACAGGTGGCAATCTGGGTCAAAGCGTTAAAGTTTAACTCTGTCTCAAGTAAGCGGTGACAGTATTTAAACGCGCAGCTCTGCAATTGCTCGCCCCACGCCACTTGTTGGCAGAAGGGCATCCCCTAGAGCAGTGGTTCTGAACCTTTACTGCAGCCTTGCACCCCTTTAGTTCTCAATTCGTGGGAAAAAGAAATGTTGATAAATTCACAGAGTGTGATGAAATAAAGTAGTTGTTCATCTTCTTGGTTCTTTCGGTAAAGTCACGTAGAATGGAAATAATAAAATAATAAAAATAAACATAATAAATAATTCTCACGACGTCTTTCTGACAGACCTGTTCTTCACCTGAGGACGGCTGCTTGCGTTGTGGCCGAAACGTCGTGAGAATTGTATTTTATTATGTTTTATTTTTATTATTTTATTATTTCCATTCTACGTGACTTTACCGAAAGAACCAAGAAGATGAATCCCTTCAGTCACGAAAGCTTTAAATCGAAAAGTAGTTGTTACTTACGTGCCCGAGCTTAATTTGCATTTCTATTATTTACCTTCAAAAAAAAATTCTTGCCATGTCTCGCATCCCCAGAAAGGGCATCTCGCACCCCCAGGGGGTGGCGTGCACCCCAGGTTAAGAAGAACCACTGCCCGAGAGAGACCCTTTAAGAGGGGCATTGTTACCCTACCCTTCCTAACATGTTTGTTGTTGTTTATTGTGCTTAGGGAAGACGATGTGCTGTTTGTTTCTGCAGGCGAATCGTTTGTAGGTAAGCACTCTGTCCGTCCGTCTGTCGTTAAGGGGGAGCGGTTCGATCACTCTCGTACAAAGCAGGGTTCTGGGTAATGAAGGGCAGCACAAGGCAGGGTTCTGGTGAAGACAGGGTAGCACGGGATAGTGATTTGTCGAACATGAACAAAACAGAGCACTTCGCTATGAACCCTGCGACGTGAATTTGATTTCCGCTTATAGCAACATTGGGAAATAAAATTTGAATCGCTCCAGGGACTCTCCTAGGTCCACTCAGCCTTAAATTAGTACTTTGTACTGTGTGTAAACTTGAGCACTCGCGATAATAATGGCGGACGGGTGTGGTGCTGGCCACCCGTCGCCTCGTGTGCCGTGTCAGCCTTAATAGGCGCTCGCTAACGATCTAAAGGGGGGATCTTTGCATTGTAAGTGTGTACGTGTGTGTGCGTGCACTCCTCAAAGTAGTAGTGTAGCGGTTAGCGTGTTGTGCTTCGAACCCAATGACCTGAGTTTGATTCCTACTCAAGGCAAACACCAGTGACGATTATGTGAACCGGTCCCGGGCCTCAAATGAGAACCTGGTGCGATGCGTAACCATTGTTACTCGGGAGACAAAGGTGGCCCGGGCATGGTGCTGGCCACCCACCCTCTTGTGTGCCGTGCCGGCCGTCATAGGTGCGAGTCGCTCTAACACCACTTGCCTCAACAGTCGATTAAGGCTACACGGGGGAACTTTGTCTTTCCACTCCTCAGATCCACAGTTTGCCTCCATCTCGGAGGAACCCGGCCAGAACTCCTTCGCCGATTGGTTGACTCTCAATGTTGGAGGTCGTCACTTCACTACGACCAGGTACCACGCGCGGGAAAACTAAAATGACACCCACGCCACGGGCAGCAGAGGCAAGGTCAAGAGGTCATCTTGGCCAGTGCAACACGTGTTTGCCACCGCAGTTGCTCCACTGAGTTTGCGAGCATTCAAAACACGGAGCTATGTTAGCGAAGATTGAGAGATCGCTTTTCATAAGTCACCCGAACCCAACCAATGTTGCGCACGTGTGTGTGTGTGTGTCTGACAGAGGTACGCTGGTGAACAAAGACCCGAACTGCATGCTCGCAAAGATGTTTGACAGACGAGGTGAGTCACGTTTCCAGGGATGGATTCACTTCGTCGTGACAGATTTTCCCGCGCCACTGGCAGTCGGGACGTTGGCGCAACTTTCGCCGAAATTTACAAACGGCGAGAAGAAACTCGCGCCAGGACGCGCTCAGACGTTCAACGTTCGTCTCCACAGCTGACGAAAGTCCCTCCATCGTCTGCGAGTGTGTGTGTGTGCAGCGGCGGCTAGCATACCGCGCTACGAACCCGGTAACCCCGAGTTCGACCCCCGCTCACTGTCAAACCGACGCCGGCGATGATTATCTGAACCGGGTAGTGGGAGACCCCTCCCCTAGGTCGACTCGGCCTCAAATATGAATACGCGGTGCGTTTTTTTTACTTGCGCACAGAGGGCTGGAGCAACACGCGGGATCCCGAGCGGAGCGTACCTCATCGACAGGAGCCCCGAGTACTTTGAGCCGGTCATCAACTTCCTCCGCCACGGCACGGTCATCGTGAACGACGGGCTCAACCTGCAGGGTACGTTGGACTCCATTGGCACAACCCGTATGTGGCCAACCGCGCTAATCGGAGGTGCGGGGGAAGGACGGCAAACCAACGCACGAAAATACGTTTTTTGCGTTTAGGGTTTGCACTAAACGCACCAAGGTGGGACAAACGAACGGCTGCGGTTGTGACGCAGCGCACGACGAGTAAACCATCAGAATCGGATCCCTTTTATTTGTTTAGACTGGAGGAAGCGATTTCGATTTAAAGCTTTCGTGACTGCAGGGATTCATCTCCTTGGTTCTTTCGGTAAAGTCACGTAGAATGGAAATAATAAAATAATAAAAATAAAACATAATAAAATAATTCTCACGACGTTTTGGCCACAACGCAAGCAGCCATCCTCAGGTGAAGAACAGGTCTGCCGAAAGAACCAAGAAGACAGACCTGTTCTTCACCTGAGGACGGCTGCTTATGTTGTGGTCGAAACGTCGTGAGAATTATTTTATTATGTTTTATTTTTATTATTTTATTATTTCCATTATACGTGACTTTACCGAAAGAACCAAGAAGATGGAGGAAGCGATGTTAACTACTACCTCGCCTGGTATGCAGGAGGTTGTGGGTACGATCCAGATGCCTGACGCCTGCTGCTGTATATTTGGAGTTTGCTGTCTCTCTCTCATCATCATCATGGTGGATAGGAGATGTTAACTACCTCGTCTGGTGTGCAGGAGGTCGTGGGTTCGATCCCTACGCCGGACACCTGCTGCTGTATATTTGGAGTTTGCGTGTCTCTCTCTCTCCACCGTGGTCGCGTGGATTATTCTCCGCGTCCTCCGGTTTTTCCCTCCACATTTAGCAACGTGCGTTTAGAGTATTTGGCTTCTGCTATACATTTCGACGTGATAAGCCTCATCGTTGAGTTGTCATTTTTGATAGCCAGGTCGCTTCTGAAAAATTGCTATATTGCTCAGTGGGCCTTAACTGGTGAAATAAAAATAGTTCAGTTCAGTTTTGGAATCCGACGCTCTACGAAGCTCGTTTTTACAGATGTCACTGAAGCGGTGCACTTCTAAATCTATCCTGAAAACCCATTGCTTTAGAATAGCTTTTTTATTTAGTTCGTTGTCCTTCCCCCTCCCCCCGCCCGCACCTCCAATTAGCACGGTTGCCTACTGACGGTGCAAAATAAGTTCAACATGTGTACACACACGCATCCGGCAGTTTGCCAGCATGAATTCGGGCAAGGCTGACTCTGCCGAGGAGACACTGAATGTGGAAGCGGGTCCAGAGATTGCTCACTGAGGTTGCGCACTCCCAGGGTGCCGATGGGGAAACGTTAAAAAATGCTTTTTTTTTTAAGTCAGTCACTTGCCGCCCGTCCGGAACATTGAACGGCGACACCAAAGTCATTCACCAGCCTGCAGCCAATGCCGTTGAACGGCTAAAACCCCAGACGTTCCTGTCTCCATGTTGGATATTTTTTCGCATCGTTGGCAATTGAGACGTTGGGACATTTTTTTTTAAATCGAATTTGGACGAAGAAAAAAAAACAGCTTTGCCAAAACGCACCGTAACGTTAGTGCCGAGTCATCACATCTGCGGCCTTCATCCAGCAGTGGGTAGATCATGGCCCGACGGTGATGGTGTCCTCACGCTGTCTTGTTAACAGGGGTCCTGGAGGAGGCGAAGTTTTTCGGGATCTCCCCGCTCATCGAGCAAATGGAGCAGCTGATGAAGGTGGGGAGTGGTTGCCGTCACTCGCAACCACTACAACAACAACAACAATTGAGTACAGAGAGTCTGGGTGTAATCCCACCTTCAGGACACCGTTCAGATATGAGCTGCCATTATACTGGTAGGAACCTCCTGGTTACACCAGCCCACAGGGGATTATTGTGTCCATCCGTCGTGCAGGGAGGGGCTGGGTAGGGAGGGAGGGGCTGGGTGGGGAGGGGAGGGTGGGGAGAGGCTGGGCGGGGAGGGTGGGGCTGGGTGGGGGGTGGGAGGGGTGGGGCTGGGTGGGGAGGGGCTGGTCACCCCGTGGTGCCCTTATAAAACTCAACGTTTAACCTACTCACGGTCTACTCGGCCTTAAACGAGTACCAGGCGCAGTATGTAAAAAAATCAGCACTGACGAGACAAAGTCGGCCGGGCGTGGTGAAGGCCACCCAGCCTTTTAGAGGCCGTACGGGAGATCTTTGCGTTTGTGTCCTGATGTTTTCGCCGCGGCGTCGTTGAAGATAACTTGTCGACGGCGACGCTTGGTGCCGTTGTTTTTATTTTGAAGAACAAGCAACCTGCCGAAGACCACACGCCAATCTCCCGGAAAGAGTTCATCCGCTTCCTCCTGGCCACGCCCACCAGCTGTGAACTGCGCTGCCAGGTGCCGCCAGCTCACTAGGCTGCTCGCCCAGATGTTGGCCTAATACTCCATCACTTGTAAAGTCACTCGCCCGATCAGCGACTTAATCGCTCAGTCGCTTTCCCACATGCTCGCCCGCCTTCTCGCACACTCCCTCTTTGACCAGCTCACTCGCCCGCTCATCCACTCACTCACTCGGTTACTCGCTCATTCTCTTCGTTTACTCGCTTAATCGCTTAGTCTCACCCATTTCATCACTCGCACACGCACACCCTCGCTCATACTCTCACTTATCCACTCACTTTGTCACTTCAGACTTACTCATTTGCCCACCCACTCACTACCCCACCCACTCACGTACCCACTTACTTGCACACCCACTCACTCACTACTTATAACTCACTGCTTACTTGCTCACTGACGTCTCACTCACTCGCTCGCCCGCCCACACATTCAACAGTGTAGACACTCTGACTGTTTAAAAATTACCACCCACCAAGCCAAATCCAACCACACCGACCCACCCAGCGAAAGAAGTTCAACATACATCCATAATAAACGTCGTACTCTAATAGTAAATTGTCGGTTTATTCTCCAACACACCGATGTGCTGAAGTAGTAACTATAGGCACTCGTTGTTTACGTGACAAACCTTACTAATTGGCTGTGTTGGGTGGTGGCGGGTTTAACGACACATTTATATTCATGTGATATAACCCCAAAAAAAACCTGTTTATTACGGATAATATTCGGTCGCGAAGGCATACGTGCTATACATACATCCATCCATACAAACCCACTCACCACCGACTCACCCAGCCAAACTCACCCACCCAAAATCCCAACCCACCCCACGACTCTGTGAACACGCCCTCACCCCACTCCTCCCTCCGGTAGGGCCTCAACTTCAGCGGCGCCGACCTCTCCCGCCTGGATCTCCGCTACATCAACTTCAAAATGGCCGCGCTCAGCAGGTGCAACCTCTCGCAGGCGAACCTGTCCAGCGCGAACCTGGAGCGAGCCGACCTCTCCGGAGCCGTGCTGGACGTGAGTGCGGCCAACCGGATCCGCGCGTGGGCCGAGAGGGGAGCCGCGGGGATTGGGGGCAGCGCACGTCCGTTCGCCAGAAGGGGTGGTGGTATCTTAAGTCTTAAAGTCTTAAAGTCACTTTATTGTCAAGTGTGTTACATGCATGACATACAACACAGATGAAATTACAGTCCTCTCTCTTGGTCCCACGGCGCAACCAAGCAATTAAAAAATTAATCACAATTAACAGACATAAATAAACAATAAACCATCGGCGATCAACACAAGATAAATAATCAAAAATGTAATAAACTTAAAATAAACAACAGTCAAGAATTTTTTAAATGTAAAATATTATTTAAATAAAGTATTTAAAAAAATAAGATATTTAAACCAGTGTGGTAGTGCGATGTAGTGCAATGTGCAGTCCAGAGATCAGGATGTACGAGTGAATGTGTGTGTGGGGGATGGGGTCAGGGGGCAAAGGGGGTGGGTGGGCAGAGGGGGGAAGTGATGGTAGAGCAGGGAGGGAGTTGAGTCTTCCTGACAGCCTGGTGAAAGAAACTGTCTTTGAGCCTGCTGGTCCTGGCTGGAAGACTCCGCAGTCTCCTCCCTGACAGCAGCAGACTGAAGAGGCTATGAGATGGGTGGGTGGGATCACCTGCAATCTTGATTGCTTTGCTGGTGATGCGGGTGTTATAAATGTCCAGAAGAGGGGGGAGAGAGACACCAATGATCCTCTCAGCTGCTCTCACTATGCGCTGCAGAGTCTTGCGGCAGGACACGGTGCAGGTGCCGTACCACACGGTGATGCAGCTCGTCAAGATGCTCTCAACAGTGCCTCTGTAGAAGGTGTGCATGATGGGGGGCGGGGCTCCTGCTCTTCTCAGTTTGCGGAGAAAATACAGGCGCTGTTGGGCTTTTTTGGCCAGTGGTATCTCTTGCTCCAGACCTGGGCCTTTCCTAGGTTGGCTCGGCATTGAAAGTGGGTAGCTAGTGCGATGTGTAAAGATCAGAAACGGAGAGACAGTAGGCCGGGCGTTACGATGGCCTCTCCGTGTGCCGTGCCGGCTTTCATAGGCGCTCGATAACTGCGCTTGCCCCAACGGTTTCTTGTCGGGGGGGGGGAACCTCTGTCTGGTGATGGTGGTGTTGGCGTTATGTAATGCTGATCTTCTTTCACACCATACGTAGCCAATTCTAAAGAAATTAGTTTTAAATCTAGATTTTAAAAAGACGAAGGGATATCTCGGTGATGTTGTTGGCGGCGGTGGTGACGTCGGTGATGCAGGGAGCCAACCTACAGGGAGTGAAGATGCTCTGCGCCAACATGGAGGGCGCGTCGCTCAGAGGGTGCAACTTTGAGGAGCCCACAGGACTGAAGGCAAACTTGGAAGGTACGTATGTATGTTTCACTTCTTCCGCGCCTGTACGTAGCCAACCGTGCGAATTGGAGGTGCGGGGAGAGGACAACAAACTAATCACAAAAAACATTTCTAAAGAAATTACATTTTCAGTCTCGATTTAGAAGTGCATAGCTACAGTGGCTTCCGAATATCACAAGGAAAGGGCGTTGCAGATGGCCGCAGAGTGCATCTGAAAGTTGCGCGATGCAGTGTAAATCTTTAGGTGTGACTTGACGAGTTTGCATATTTTTTCAGTTTTTTTCATATTCACCTATTTGGTATAGCCCTGTGAGCCATTCGGCTCTTGAATCGGGTGCAACCGCAACAAGCAAAAAACAAAAACATGAACAAGAAAACATCTTAAAGTGACTATGCGAAAACAGAAAAATCCAGGACAAAAACAGCAAACAATCTTCCAGAAAAAAGCACCGTACACCAACGCTCTGTGCAAAAATCCCAGTGGGATGCAAGTCAAACAACAACAACAACAACCACAAGACAACTTAGATTAAAGCATTTGTTAAACACACAACTTAGTTGGCGTACTGCGTTGGCAGTGCTGCACAAGCGTGAATAACAAATAAGTTTGTCAATAACACAAATTAACAACGTTTCGGGGTGTGGCCCTTCATCATTGTTCCGAGAGAGACCAGAGGGATGGAGTGGATACAAGTTTGACACTCGGGCGGTGACGTGGCTCAGCGGGGAGCACGTTCTCACTGCTGCTTGCAAGAGGTTTGCAGTTGGAATCAGGCAGGCCGCCCTGGTTATTACTGCGGTGTGTGTATTAACGGCGTAATTCATGCTGTCTGCTTCACAGTGGATGTTAAAGATCCGCTGGCGTAATGCGAAAAAGATGAGGCCGTTGTGTGCCGCCGCCTGCCGCCGTGGTACAAATTTGTCAAATTCGAAGGAAACTTGAAATTGTGTTTAGTCAGTTGCCCTTCCCGCGCACCTCCGATTTAGCACGGTTGGCTACGTACAGTGCTGAAAGAAGTTGAACATACACACACGTACAAACTGCAAGTTACTCAATTCTGATTTCACACGACATCGTCGCCCCCTACTGTGAGACCCCTGCAGACCGCGTCTGCGAAACACAGCAGCGCTTTCCTTCGCGACGATGGCCCTGCCGCCGCGATAAGAATGCCGCGAATACCAAATGTCCTAAGTTAATCGTGTTATTACGTACCATGGGGTCCTTGATATTTTGCCCGCACCACCCCGGCCCCGCCTCCCCGATTCTCCTTCCTACCTTTCCTGCCGCCGACGCGCGGGGGACCCTGGCGCAGGAGCGAACCTGAAGGGCGTGGACATGGAGGGCAGCCAGATGACGGGTGTGAACCTGCGCGTGGCCACGCTCAAGAACGCCAAGCTCAAGAATTGCAACCTGCGCGGGGCCACGCTCGCGGGCACCGATCTCGAGGTGCGAGCCACGCGGTGTTGGGGGGGAGGGGTGTGGGGGGGGGCGGAGGGGGCGGAGGTGTTCAGAGCGGGAAGACACGCGGCGCTGCATCCACCACTCGCTCGCTCACCCACGGACGCATTCACCCCCTCGCTCTGTTTCATAATAATAAATAAATGAATTGGACTTCATATAGCGCTCCTCACTCGTGGATCGCAGAGCGCTCTACACAAATAGCATTGAATAAAGAGCAAGCATGAAGACCTAGCAATAAAAATGTATAATACTATATTTGAAGTTTTCGTGACTGCAAGGATTCATACTCTTTGTTTTTTTTACATGACTTTACCGAAAAAACCAAAGAGTATGTATAATAATAGTTAAAGAGCCTGAAGATAAAATTAGGTGAATTCCTTCTTAATGAGGAATGTTTTAAGTTTGTCACTCACCCACCGTCTGTTTGCTCACTCGCCCTCTCACTGACTCAATCACTTGCTCTGGCTTGCCCGATCATTGACTGACTTGCTCACTCACCCTCCTTCCCTCTCTTCCTCCCTTCTCCCTCTCACCCCCCTGCCCCCCTCCCTCTCCTCCTACCCTTCCTCACTTCCAACTTTATTCCCTCCCTCAATTCACTCCCTCGCTCTCCTCCCACCCTGTCCTGACACTTTACTCCTCCATCCCTCCCTCCCATCCTCCCTCCCCTCCCTCCCATCCCCTCCCATCTCTCCCTCCCTCCCCCTCCCTCCCTCCCTCCCTCCCTCCCTCCCTCCCTCCCTCCCTCCCTCCTTCCCTCCCTCCCTCCCTCCCTCCCTCCCTCCCTCCTTCCCTCCCTCCCTCCCTCCCTCCCTCCCCTCCCTCCCTCCCTCCCTCCCTCCCATCTCTCCCTCCCTGCCTCACACACCACAGAACTGCGACCTGTCGGGCTGCGACCTGCAGGAAGCGAACCTCCGCGGCTCCAACGTGAAGGGCGCCATCTTCGAGGAGATGCTCACGCCGCTGCACATGTCGCAGAGTGTCAGGTGACCGCCTCGCGTCCGAGCGGGGCGCGCTTAGCCACGCCGGGCCGGCGAGCTCAGGCCTGCCGCCCAAAGGGGACGGGGTTGGGTGGGGGGGGGCGGGGGTCGGGAGGGGGGCAGGGGTCGAACCCGGCAGCGGCAACTCGGCAGACGAGTGGCGGGCTAGCGGGCCAAAGCTTAGGGGGCCTCTACGAGGGGACCGTGCTCGCGAGCGACGGAGACACGGACGTGGAGCCGAAGATTACAATGAGCTGATCGTAGTGGCCAGTGCCAGCGATGTTGTCGCCTGCCGCTGAACCCAACCGTCGCTTCCTTCCTTATGCCAGATCCAGCAGCTGTTGTTTGTTTGAATGGCACCCTCAAGGTCTGCTTTTGTGATACTTCTATCACATCTAGATTAAAAAAAAATGTTTCCCTTGTTACACAGTCATCATCGCCGCGATCTGGCTTTAGGTCTCCCTACTTTTGTCGCCAAGCTCTGGGTAGAACCTGCCATCTGCCTCCCTGCACACCTGTCCCGCCCATCGCAGCCTCTTCTTCCCAATTACAGCGAACAACGCTTTCCTGCCATGTTCTATTCCAAATTTCCAAGTGGGTTGGCAATTTAAATGTTATTCCACAGTGCTTCCTGGAGGCCTGGGGTAAATTTCGCCTTTGGCCTGCCCTCCCCCCTCTAAAAGCTGCCACTTCATGATTAGCATCCACAATGGTTTTCCTCCACGTTCTACGTATGTTGAACTTCTTTTGCACAGTACGTAACCAACAGTGATAATCGGAGGTGCGGGGAAAGACACTTTACATCATTATCCTGCCGTAAAAAAACTCACGGCGTTTTACCCGCAGGAACCGAATTGTGCGTTTTTTGACCGGTCCGTGCGTGTTGTATACAATCTAGCCAATTACGTTCGCTGCAAGTCTTGAATGGACTCATGACCCGAGCAGTTGGTGGTGCGTACTCTAGTGGGCTGAATTTGGCAGAGGAGTGGGCTGGGCCTGTCAGCAGTAGGCCCTGTCGATTTTAGTGCGCAGGGGCGAGTGAGCGAGTGGGCGTGGCTTTGTCAAGTGGGCGTGGACACATAGGGAGGGAGGAGCTGCCAGGTCACCCACTGTGACCCGGTTGAGCCTCCCAGATATTTTATAGCCTTATATATTCACACAGTGTGTATTATACAATATTTATGTATGCACACGTATACTTGTAATCAAGCAACTGTTTACAGCATCACACTTTTATATATGAAGTGATGAAGGATACATTTTAATTGTCAAATGTTCTCCTCTGCATGTTGTTTGCAAGTGCAAAAAAGGCGTGAGAAAGGGCTTTTGTTCGAAAAATATTTTGTAATGAAAGTGGAAACTATCAGTCCTGCGTCAAATGAAAACCCAATTACACATTAGTGGGTGGAGTGGCGGCGCAGTGGTTTGCACGCTGTGCTTCGAAAAACAGTTAAACCTGAGTTCGATCCTCAGCCAGGGTGATATCTAAACCGGTGTAGGTGGGCCTCCACACTAACTCTACCAACCCACGTTGACCAGCATGGTGAAGTATGGTAATACAGCACATTGACTGGCATGCCCTCAGGGATACCTTCATTCAACAGTGGATTGACATTGGCTGTAAGTTATTATCAATGCGTGTTGATAATCTTTGTTTTTTTTTATAATTGGCCGTTAAACACTACATGGTTGTATCGGGTATGTCTTAGCACCTGTGCGCCATCTCAAAATGTAATGAATTAAAAACGTGAAATGGTTCGCTCTGATGCGTTTCCGGTTTGTACCGCGCGTTGTTCGGCACGATGTCCGACGTTTCGCTCCACGTGCCTAAAGTTGAACTTGCTGAAGCTCCCAGAAATATGGCGTGCAAAGTCAGACATCGGAAACGCATCGGAGGGAGACAGAGCTGTACAGCAGCACAACCGCGAAAACCTGAGCAGCAGTGGCAACCTTAAGCTGCAAGACTGTTAACACTAATGTCACAGGGACACTTGGGTGTGTAACGCAGCAACTTGATATTTTGTTTTAATTAGTATAACTTTAGGTCTCTGTTTTACTTCCTGCCCCCCCCCTACCACATTTGATTCCAATTCTGCCATCGGAAGCGATGCATCACCACCCCCTGTGTTAAAGAACGGCCCACAGAAGTAGGCATCGCAGAACTGCTTTCTGAGATGCCCTTCGAGCAGAGGTCGCAACCGGGTACCCGATACCCGTACCCTACCCGATACCCGGCTACCCGTACCCAGCCGGGTACAGGTACCAGTTTGCGACCCTGGTGCGGCCGGGTACGGGTAGGCCGTGAGTCACCGGTGAGTAACCGTTTGTCACTCATTTCGGGTAGGGTACGGGTAGCGTACGGGTACCCATACCCAGCCGGGTAGGGTACGGGTACCCATTTGCGACCCTGGTGCGGCCGGGTATGGGTACGGGTAAGGAATCAAAACCCGTTTGCGACCTCTGCATTCGAGTGACTTCTTATCCACGCGAGACGGTGCTACACTCTTCCCACAAGCCGTGCTGTAAAGGTGCTCTCGTCGCAGTGAAACCGAAATATTTATTTGGTCATTCCCAGAGCTGGAATTATTCGTGAATTACGTGGAAAACCAAATGTCACTTTGTGACCAGGCTGAGACCATCAACTGACTACAGTTGAGGATTCTATTTAATCGCAGGTGGCTGGACCTGGATTTGAACCCAGGTACTCGCCAGTGCCGGTTCTTTGTCTCCGACCCAGACGTTGGGGTCGAGACATCTGAACTATCCAGCCACCTCGGGATGAAAACATTTCAATCAGAAGTGGAATTTATTATCAAGACAATCTGAAACAAGGTGGTTTCAAATGAAGGGTGGTTAATATATGTAAAAAAAAACATGTTGGTGAATCTTGCAATTGTAAAGAATAAACAAATGACTTTCAAACTGTGTGTGTGTTGTAAATGGAGCTGCTGTTCCTGTGCTTTGTAACTATTCCCCGTCTGTGTCTCTCCGAGGCCGATAGTATTTTAATGAAAATCATAAAGCCCCTGAAACAGGGGTGGGAACCTACGGCCCCCTCGACTTCATTCCACACGGCACGTGTCCAAAAACGAGGCCCACCACTTTTATTGAACAGTCCACAAAGGATAACGCATCCATGACCGAAAGCATTTTAGCCACATGAATCGTGTACTCGTGGGGAACAACACCGTGCCTTTAATATTAGTGCGTTTGTGATGGGACGTTGTAGGATGAACGTTGAGATGTATAAGGGGCACGGGGGGTGACCAATGTGGTCTGAATTGGTCTGTAATAAGGTAGGGCACTGATTAGGGGGATGTGCGGATGCCGAATGCACGAGCGGAGGAGGGAGAGTCTGAGACTGCGTGCTGTGTGCGGCTTCACACTGCGCCCCACGCACACGGGGAGGCGGTGTTTGGGTGGATGTGGTTGAGTGGGTTGGTGAGTAGGTAGGTTAGTGCGGAGGTGGGTGAGTGAGTGGGTGAGTGAGCAGGTGAGTGAGTTGAGTAGGTAGGTTAGTGCGGAGGTGAGTGAGTGGGTGGGTGAGCAGGTGAGTGAGTGGGTGAGTGAGTTGAGTAGGTAGGTTAGTGCGGAGGTGGGTGAGTGAGTGGGTGAGTGAGTGGGTGAGTGAGTTGAGTAGGTAGGTTAGTGCGGAGGTGAGTGAGTGAGTGGGTGAGTGAGCGGGTGAGTGAGTGGGTGAGTGAGTTGAGTAGGTAGGTTAGTGCGGAGGTGAGTGAGCGGGTGAGTGGGTGAGTGAGTAGGTGAGTGAGTTGATGAATAGGTAGGTTAGTTGGAGGTGAGTGAGCGGGTGAGTGAGTGGGTGCGTGAGTAGGTGAGTGAGTTGATGAGTAGGTAGGTTAGTGCGGAGGTGAGTGAGTGAGTGGGTGAGTAGGTGAGTGAATTTATGAGTAGGTAGGTTAGTGCGGAGGTGAGTGAGCGGGTGAGTGAGTAGGTGAGTGAGTTGAGTAGGTAGGTTAGTGCGGAGGTGAGTGGGTGAGTGAGTTGATGAGTAGGTAGGTTAGTGCGGAGGTGAGTGAGCGGGTGAGTGAGTTGATGAGTAGGTAGGTTAGTGCGGAGGTGAGTGGGTGAGTGAGTTGATGAGTAGGTAGGTTAGTGCGGAGGTGAGTGAGCGGGTGAGTGAGTGAGTTGATGAGTAGGTAGGTTAGTGCGGAGGTGAGTGAGCGGGTGAGTGAGTGGGTGAGTGAGTAGGTGAGTGAGTTGATGAGTAGGTAGGTTAGCGCGGGGGTGAGTGGGTGAGTGAGTTGAGTAGGTAGGTTAGTGCGGAGGTGAGTGAGCGGGTGAGTGGGTGGGTGAGTAGGTGAGCGAGTTGATGAGTAGATAGGTTAGTGCGGAGGTGAGTGAGCGGCTGAGTGAGTGGGTGAGTGAGTGGGTGAATGAGTTGATGAGTAGGTAGGTTAGTGCGGAGGTGAGTGAGTGAGTGGGTGAGTAGGTGAGTGAGTTTATGAGTAGGTAGGTTAGTGCGGAGGTGAGTGAGCGGGTGAGTGAGTAGGTGAGTGAGTTGAGTAGGTAGGTTAGTGCGGAGGTGAGTGGGTGAGTGAGTTGATGAGTAGGTAGGTTAGTGCGGAGGTGAGTGAGCGGGTGAGTGAGTTGATGAGTAGGTAGGTTAGTGCGGAGGTGAGTGGGTGAGTGAGTTGATGAGTAGGTAGGTTAGTGCGGAGGTGAGTGAGCGGGTGAGTAAGTGAGTTGATGAGTAGGTAGGTTAGTGCGGAGGTGAGTGAGCGGGTGAGTGAGTGGGTGAGTGAGTAGGTGAGTGAGTTGATGAGTAGGTAGGTTAGCGCGGGGGTGAGTGGGTGAGTGAGTTGATGAGTAGGTAGGTTAGTGCGGAGGTGAGTGAGCGGGTGAGTAAGTGAGTTGATGAGTAGGTAGGTTAGTGCGGAGGTGAGTGAGCGGGTGAGTGAGTGGGTGAGTGAGTAGGTGAGTGAGTTGATGAGTAGGTAGGTTAGCGCGGGGGTGAGTGGGTGAGTGAGTTGAGTAGGTAGGTTAGTGCGGAGGTGAGTGAGCGGGTGAGTGGGTGGGTGAGTAGGTGAGCGAGTTGATGAGTAGATAGGTTAGTGCGGAGGTGAGTGAGCGGCTGAGTGGGTGAGTGAGTGGGTGAATGAGTTGATGAGTAGGTAGGTTAGTGCGGACGTGAGTGGGTATGTGAGTCGCTGGGTGAGTGGATGGGAATGTGAGTAGGTGGGTGAGTTGGTGAGTGGGTTGGGTTGACACGGTGTTGTGGGTCATCCAGAGCAAGCGGTCCCTCAGGACGCAACCGTGCCACCCGATCCGCAAGCACCAAGGGCGACATTGCAGCGACGACCGTCTGAACGTGGAAATTCCGTCACAGTTCCTATGATCACTGTTTCATTGGTTTCATGGCTTTATTTTGGTGATTTCGAAAAGTATTGGTTTAGCCATGTTTGTTTGTTGTAGTACATAGTTATACTGATGGCCTTAATCTAAGTTGTCTTGTGGTTGTTGTTGTTGGTTGTTTGACTTGCATCCCACTGGCATTTGTGCACACAGCGTTGGTGTACGGTGATTTTTTTCTGCAATATTTTGCTGTCTTTTCTTGGATTTTCTGTTTGCACTCAGTCACACATTCACTTTAAGATGTTTTTTGTTCATGTTTTTGTTTTTAAATCCTTTATATTAAGTTCACTTGCTTGCTTGCTTACGACCGTGCAAATCTTTCGGTCGTTTTTTAACCCACTTCCCGTGATCCAATCGAGCTGACATTTTGCACACAGACTCGTTGTGCATGACAATTAATGTTCGTGAACATTTTTTTACAAAATTTTCCACTTTTTAGGAATTTTTTTTTTCATATTTAATTTAAAATACCAATGTGATAAAAATGAAACTCTTACTCAAGAAAAACTGAAATGAATAATAAAATAAAACCGATGCCACGCATATAAAGGATTTATAGTGAAAAACTTTGTTTTTACGGGTTAATTTTTTGTTTGTTGCGGTTGCACCCGATTCAAGAGCCGAATGGCTCACAGGGCTACACCCCGAGATGTGGACTCGAGTCATGTGACTTGGACTCGAGTCAGACTCGAGTCATGAATTTGATGACTTCAGACTCGACTTGGACTTGCATAACAATGACTTTGTCCCACCTCTGAGGTGTGGACTCGAGTCATGTGACTTGGACTCGAGTCAGACTCGAGTCATGAATTTGATGACTTCAGACTCGACTTGGACTTGCATAACAATGACTTTGTCCCACCTCTGGCTACACCTAATACATGAACTTGAAAAATGTTGCAGCCGCTACTCGGCGTCTGAGAACGGCAGCCACAAGAGGAGACAGGAGTTGGGTGGGTGTGTTGGGGTGGAGTGGGGGGCGCGGTGCGGGTCAGGTGCTCCGGATGAATGAACTCCCAACGAGGAAGAGTCGCGCATCTCCGAATCGTGGAATCCCGCGCGCCGATTGGCCAGCGACCTCTCAGCGACGTCATCGCGTCACTTCCGCGTCGTCGGCGACCTATCAGCGACGTCGTCGCGTCACTTCCGCCGACCTATCGGCGACGTCACGCGTCACTTCCGCGTCGCCGACGACCTCTCAGCGACGTCATCGCGTCACTTCCGCGTCGCCGGCGACCTCTCAGCGACGTCATCGCGTCACTTCCGCCGACCTCTCAGCGACGTCATCACGTCACTTCCGCGTCGTCGGCGACCTCTCAGCGACGTCATCGCGTCACTTCCGCCCACCTCTCGGCAACGTCATCGCGTCACTTCCGCGTCGCCGTCCCGTCATGGCGCCTGTGTGTTGCCGCTCGCACCGGGCAGCCGCTTCTCGCTCGGGCTCCCTTCGCTCCCCGAGCACGCAGCGGCTGCCCTTGTTGCTGCTGCTGCTGCTGCCCGTGCTGCTGCTGTTGCTGCTGCCCGCGAGTCACGCTCTGGGCGCTGGCGAGGACACGACGCGGGAGCAGTTGCTGCTGAAGCCGCTGAGTCCGGGTTTCGTGTCCGCCTTGTTCCACGTGGAGACGAGGGCACCGCGGGGCAGCGCGAGAGGTGAGGGGGCAGCGCGGGGCAGTGCGGGGATGTGAGGGACGGTTGGGGGAGGTGAGGGGCAGCTGTGGAGGTGAGGGGGCAGCGCGGGGCAGTGCGGGGATGTGAGGGGCGGTTGGGGTAGGTGAGGGGCAGCTGTGGAGGTGAGGGGGGCAGCTGTGGAGGTGAGGGGGCAGCGTGGGGCAGTGCGGGGATGTGAGGGGCAGCTGTGGAGGTGAGGGGGCAGTGCGGGGATGTGAGGGGCGGTTGGGGTAGGTGAGGGGCAGCTGTGGAGGTGAGGGGGGCAGCTGTGGAGGTGAGGGCGCAGCGTGGGGCAGTGCGGGGATGTGAGGGGCAGCTGTGGAGGTGAGGGGGCAGCGCGGGGCAGTTGGGGAGGTGAGGGGCAGCATGGGGACGTTGGGCAGAGGTCGCAAATGGGTTTTGATTCCTTACCCGTACCCGGCCGCACCAGGGTCGCAAACGGGTACCCGTACCCGGCCGGGTACGGGTAGCCGGGTATCGGGTAGGGTACGGGTATCGGGTACCCGGTTGCGACCTCTGACGTTGGGGGAGGCGAGGGGCAGTTGGAGACCTGAGGGGCAGCATGGGACAATAATGGAAATCACGGAGCAGTCGGGAAGGGCAACGGAAGGAGGTGAGCAGCAGCACGGGCTCGGTTAAGCATCGCAGAAGGGCAGCAGTAAAGACGGGGCAGCATGGGGTTGAGGACGTCCACGCAGGAGATGGAGCGATGAGATCAGCTGGGTGGATTGTGGCATCGCAGAATTGTGAGAGATGGTGACGGCTTGGGGAGGGGGGGGGGCTACATCCAGCAGTGGACTGATCATGACCGACGGAGATGATACGGAATGACCTGTGTGTGAGTGGTAGCGTAGCAGGTTAGCGCAGCTACGAGCCCGGCGACCCGAGTTCTATTCCCGCTCACGATGATCATAACTGGTCCTGAGCCTACCCTAGGTTGACTGCGTCTCAAATGAGTACCTGGTGTGTAAACATGACCACTGGGGAGACAAAGGCGGCCGGGCGTGGTGTTGGACACCCACCCCCCTCGTGTGCCTTGCCGGCCTTCATAGGTGCTCGCGAACAGCACTTGCCCAACAGTCTGTAAAAGGCTGCAAGGGGGATCTTTGTACTTGTGTGGTGTGTGCACAATGGGGAGCGGTGGCGCAGTGCTTAGTTCACTGTGCTACAGACCCGCCTACCCGTGTTCGATTCCCGCTCATGGCCAACATCAGTGACAATTAATCGGAACCAGTCCTGGGCCCTCGCCTAGGTCGACTCAGCCTCAAGTGAGTACCTCGTGCGGTGTGTAAACATCGCCACGAGAAAGACAAAGGCGGTCGGGCATGGTGCTGGCCACCCACCCCCTTCGTGTGCCGTGCTGGCCTTCATAGGTGCCCGCTAATGAGCACTTGCCCCAACAGTCTGTTAAGGCTCTAACGTGGGGGTGGGATCTTTGTTGTGTGTTGTGTGTGCGCGCACAGAGCAGCACTATCGGCTGTTCCCCCGCCCGCTGGGCTCCGTGCTGTCCCGCTACTGGGTTCGGGAGCTGCACCTCTCGCTCACCGTGGGGGCCTGGAGAGGGGATTCCTGGGGGACCTCTCCGGCTCCCGCCCCGCATGGCGCCCAGCTCTGGGTCTGGTTCCAGAACGACGTTCCAGAGTACGTTCACCCACCGCCAACACCCGCTGAGCCGTGTAGCTCTCTCGTGTTTTTTTTTTTGCGGCGATCTGGCCACAAATGACAGCTCGACGAAGTGGCTCACCGTGCGGAAATGTACGGCAGCCAAATGTGTGTCGCTAAATTTGGAGGGAAAAACCGGAGCACCGGGAGCGAAATCCACGTGACAACGGGGAGAGAGACACACAAACTCTAAATATACAGCAGCAGGCATCGGGGTCGGGATCGAACCCACCAACTCCTGTATACCAGGCGAGGTAGTTGACATCTCGCCACCGCGGCGCCCCTGTACCGGAGTCGGGTCGCTCACCACCACCACCACCATCCGTTCTAGAGTCAGACACTACTACATCCTGGCCTTAGAATCATATACAAACGGAGACATCATAATATTCAATATCTATTGATGACTAGTTGTATCCCGAATATTGCGTGTAAAAATGTACAATATTTGTCACCATCAACAGCCACGGTCAGTCCACTGTTGGATGAAGGCCTCCCCCGCAAGCTGTCGCCATCTCTCAAGATCCAGCGGTGTCACAATCTTGTCTCCCCCCCCACACCTCCGATTATCACAGTTGGCTACGTACGGTGCGAAAGACAGTTCAACACAACACGCACAATCACATTTCATCGCAGTTAACGCCGACCTCCAGCCCTCTTCCCTGCCATCGACGCGTCCTGCCCATTGCCCGCTTGCTCTCTGCGCTGTCGGGCACGAGGACATCAGCCCGTACACACGCTGGGCTGATTGTAACGTCGCCGGATCTCGAGATGACGTTGACAACACTTGGTGGGTGGGGTCCTAATCCAGCAGTGGATTGATCACGTCCGTTGCTGTGCGTGTCACAGCGTTGACGCCGCCTGGCAGGATCTCGTCAACGTCCTCTCGGGGATGTTCTGCGCCTCTTTAAACTTCATCGACGCCTCCAACACTGCATCTCCGGAGGTCTCCTTCCGGCCTTCTGGACCTGCGAACAGTAAGCCGCACCCGCACAAAGACAAAGATCCCCCGTGTAGCCTCCACAGACGGTTGGAGCAAGGGGTGTCAGCAGGCTTCTATTAAATTTGGCGCGGAGCACGAGGGGGTGGTTTGGCCAGCACCGCGCCCGGCCGTCTGTGTCTTTGCCGCGGTGTTGATGGTTATCAACTGCACCAGATACTAATTTAGGCACAGGACCGGTTCAAATAATTGCCACTGGTGGGAGCTGTGACCCGGACTCGCACTCGGGTTACGGTGGTGGCTACGTTGCACGTGGCTGCCTGTCATCCAGCACTGTCGCGGCAGCAGCGAGGGTTGGCGGGTCAAGGAGAAGCAGTAACCCCGACTCCTCCAGAAAGCGGGACAGCAAATGTGGACTCTGCTTGCTCCAACCGTACGGGAGAGAGTCTTGCCCCCTCGCACGCGTGGGTTTTCTCCGCGTGCCTCCGTTTCCTCCCACTTGTAAACGCTCATTAATTGGCCGACGATACCCTAGATATATCGAGGACCGCAGAGCTCGGGCGATTGTTGGTGCCGGCCCGTCGCGTGGCTGCATTGCCGCTCGTCTGCGGTTCCTCCTCGCGCCTCCGAGTCGTCTTCTCTCTACGAGGGCGCGCGAATGCATTGCGGTGGCGCGTTGCGAGCCGACATTGGTAGCCATTGGGGGTCGCGTGTCGCCCGTGCCACCGCTCTGAGATTTGGCGGAAGGAAGCGACGGCGAGGGCGCGGCGACGCTAACCGTAACGCGTGGTCCCCTGCAGTCACGCAGCGGAGGCTGTTGAGGTACGCGGCCCTTCCCAGGGAGGTCGTGTGCACGGAGAACCTCACACCATGGAAGAAGCTACTCCCCTGTGGATCTAAGGTATCCACCCCCCACCCACTCTCATTACATGTCACTCCCACTGACGCCCCGAGTGATACGACCCGTCTCATGATGGTGCAGGCCATCTCTCTTGCATTTTCACGATGGTTCTCTGAGGGGTTAATGCAGTAGGAATTTTATTTTTGTGTAAAGTTGTGTTGCTATTTGGGCTATTACCCGATAGAAAACCGGTAAAATTGATGAAAGGCTTACCCGAAACTTGTGGATATTAAAAACGGTGATTAATTTTTTTGGCAAAGGCGATGATGTCACCCTTTCCCCACAATGCCATTCTTCATCTTGACGTCATCTCAATTGGTGCTCCAAAGTTATTGTTATTGTTACCAATTATATGTAATTACATGCTTTCCAGCAAGCATGTAATTACATGCTTGTTGGAAAGTGTGAAAAGAATGCATGCATATGCATGATTTTTCTTCTTTGCTGTTCAGTGTGTGTAGCTTTCCCAATAGGGAAATTCATCTTTTCAGCTCCGCTTCTCATTTCTCTGCGGTATCTTATACTCGCTTGAGAGTAAAACGTGGAAACGGAGGCGAGGCTATTCCCCCCCACCCCCCAACTACTGTCGTGATCATCCGATTAGTCGAGTAATTGGAACCGACAATCGGTCGAGCCACCGATTACTTAATTAATCGGATCGCAGCCCCCGGCTCTACCTGAGTTGTCACTTTGCCCCGAACTCTGTTGCGTCGTCGTCGTTGTTTCAGGCCGGGCTGGCTACGCTGCTCAACGGAGGGAAGCTCTACAACTCCAACTTCCACTCGCTGGCCGTGCACGTGCAGCCCACGCCCACCGTGAGTGGTTCCCACGTTCCCTGCAAACAACGGTGGCGACGCGGTCGAGCGCTCGCGCGTTTGCGGTTCGAGCCCCCCCGCGCTCGTCCCGGTTAATAACTAACTGCGCCACAGGGAGAACGTGCAAATTCAGGGATCGAACCCACGACCTCCTGTATACCAGGCCAGGGTAGTTAACATCTCTCCACCGCGGCTGCCAGTAATACTGCGGCGTGCTTATTAACCATCAATACTTCCTGCCGTCCCGCGACGTTATTCGGAAAAGGAGTCCTCCGTTGTGTTGCCGGCATCACGGTCCAATTTTTAGGCAACATTTTAAAAACTCCCCGCAAATTATTCTATTGTGGGAACTCGCACAGCAATCATCGGCCGATACTGTGAAGCCACTGCAGACTACGTCTGTGAAACATCGCGCCGCGAGACGGCCGTACATTATAAGAATGGCGTGAATCCCTAATGTACGAATGGGTTGAATGGATCTGAACTGAATCGCATCAGGGCATTGCATGGCACGCGCAGCAATGGCTCCCTGTTTACTACCGTTGCCTGTTCAAATTCCTCACCCTGGTCTATAAATCCTTTCGTGGTCTTGCCCAACCATATCTTGCCCTTTATGTCGCCTTCTCGCCCTCGACGTTCTCAATCTTTGCTATCTCTCTCTGTTCCTCCTCCTCCTTGCGCTAAATCCGCGCTGTCGCTTTCTGTCTTCTCGCCCCCCTTCATGGCAACAAATTTCCCCTCCACATTAAGCAGATCACCTTGGCTCATAGTTTCCGCTCCCCACTCAAAACTCGCTCATTGTTCACCAGCTCACCTCACAACCCCTTAATCCCTCCTCATATCCGCCACCGCTATTTTTCCCTCTTCATGTTTTCATTATATGGCTCTCACTCATTCCCCATTCATTCAATCCATTCATCGTCGTTTACCGTAATCAATTTCGCTTTCACAGATTTTATGCATCACAGGTTTGCCCCCATTGCTTCCTCTCATCTATTTCATTCACCTCATAATTCTGTGTAATTCTGTGCTATATAAACTCATTTTAGATGAGATAAAATTAATAGTATCCCACAGTGCAACTGCAGTCACTCTTCTCAAACAATGGACCACATCATAATACCTGAGAACCTGGGTTCGAATCCACGTTGAGCAGCCTGTGATTAAACCGTCTTCTCGAGTGTAGTGAGGTCAGTGTCAGCACGGTCACCAATGACTGCAACAACAAAACTCGTTACTTTGTATTTAATTCTGCACTTAATTTGGCTAAATTCCAACTATGAGAATTGCAACTATCGGTTATCGACCATCTTGTGATGAATATTATTTGTGGGAAAGGGCTGCCCCTAAGTCTGTGAACCAAAGGTCACTTGAAGAGATCTCGGAGTTAGCTCTGTGATGTCCGCTGCCGTGGGCTGTTCTCTGACACGGAGGGTCACACTGCTCTGTGCGGGATGCGAATTGTCTCGTACATAGCAGCGATAGCACGATTTGGGCGTAAAACCGATGTTCAAGAATATATTTGTCAATTCAAATCGCGTAACTGTGTGTTGTGGTTTCAGGATCCGCATTGTAACGGGGAGTGCTGGGAGCTCACTCAGTCCCTCCTGGTCGTTTTCGACGTCTTTCCTGCCAAAAACAGGAAGCCAGGTCATACAACGCTCACGTGCCTCTACACTCGCCGTGCTGTCGGCCGACACAACACTGCGGGTGTATTCACCGCAAAGTATACGCACCGTCCGATTCGCAGCGGACGTTGAAGATGATGCCGTGACGTCAGTCGCGAGAGTAGGCCGTCGTGCCGAGAATCTGTGAGGCTTTCCGGAGTAAACAATCGTAGATCGTAGTAGCAGTCGTAGTAATGCACAATCACCATACTATTAGCGTAGAATCTACAATCTACAATCTTAGTGCAATTCATGTGCATGCAAGGTGCATTATACGGTTTGCAATGTAAGATAATTACATATTCATTGTACAGTTCGTGCACGATGAATAAGCATTGTACAATTCGTGTCCACTACAAAACTGTGGATGTTTGTAGAAGTTTGTGTGTGCGTGTTTGTGCCGAGCTTAGCCCGCTGCGTGACAAACCCGGCGACGTTTCTCTGAATCGGTCTTGACCGTCACCTAGGTCGAATTAACCTCAAATGAGTACCTGGTGTGGTGTGTAAAACATCGCCACTGGGGAGACAAAGGTGGCCTCGTGTGGTGTGTGCCACCCACTCGAGTGCCGTGCCGGCCGATATGCGCTCGCTAACAGCACTTGCCTCAACAGTCTGTTAAAGCTATTCGGGGGATCACTGTTTATTAATGTGTGTGTGCGCATGCAGATTGGTCGCTGTCCTCCCTGTTTGGACGGGGTCTCACCGAGCCTTGTCCCCTCGCCTCCAACAGCACCTTGGTCCTGGATCTAAGCCGACTCTCCACGGTGGGGCAAAACGTGGGCTTCTCCCACAGTGCGGTCACATCATAATACTTTGCTGAATCACAATACCCTGCTGACCTCGTCAAATGAGCATAGACCATCGCGCAAACTCCGGTGGATCGCGCGAATGACTGCGGCCACACCCTCGCTATGCACTTTTACATCGCCGAGATTGAAGACTGATTTCTTTAGAACTGCTTGTTTTATTTCGTTTGTTATCCTTCCCCCGCACCTCCTATTAGCACGGTTGGCTACGTACGGTGCGAAAGAAGTTGAACATGAATACCTGTCAACCCCTTATCAGTGCCTACCTTATTACAGACCATTCAGACCTGATTGGTCACCCCGTGCCTCTTATAAATCTCAACATTCATCCTACAAAGTACCGTCACAAGGGAGAAACACAAATAAACATACAAAAATTGCGCCTATTGAAACGGCTGGCCGCCGTATGGACCTGAAAACTCAGTTTCCCTGTCCAAGAATACGGGGTAAACCGTATGAGTTTACACGGTATGAACAATCATACATCAGGGGGAGGTGCGCCCCCCCTCCCCCCGACGCCTCAACCAGTAAACCAGAATGATAACATCTGACACCGTGACGTCGTAGCGCAGGGGTGGGGCCCCCCAAAGCGCGGGGCCCCCTGGGGCGGTCGCCCCGACTCGCTGTCACCCCTAGGGACGGCTCTGACAGCAACGGCCTGCAAACGGGCGATAAGTCTGCCAGTAGGCGGGGGGGTGGTGGGGGGGACGGTGTTCATGAATGGCTTTCCCCAGTGAAGCAAGTTCACGGCGCTTATTCATCGGCGGCGTATGGTTCGTGCGTCCCAGGAACGTGCCCCGCCTCGTCGGGTTTTCTCAGAAGCTAAGCAGGGTGGTGCTGGGCATGAGACCTGGATAGTGCTTGGATGGGCAACCGCCATGCAAAGCTTCTCTTCTTCTCTCCCCCCGCCTCTCTTCACTTCCCCAGGCCGAGGGGAAGTTCCAGGTGTCCCCTTTGCCCCCCGGGGTGAAGGCCGAGGACCCCCGGGGCGCCGGGGTCCTCGTGTACGACCTCAAGGACCCCGCCACCTTCGCGACCAGCTCGCGCGTCAACGTGGCGCTCAAGTGGAGCGCGCCGCCCACGTGGGGTACGCGACCGCTGCGCGACGGGTGCCGCGGTTGGACGTGCGCGGTGACGACGACGATGATGACGACGATGACGACGATGACGACGATGACGACGACGATGACGACGACGACGATGACGACGACGACGATGACGACGACGACGATGACGACGACGACGATGATGATGATGCACTCGCAACGTGACAGTGCACCTGGCCTGGCACAGGCGTCTCCGAGTGGAGAAATACACAGACGGAAACGGGGGGGCGGGGGGCATGGGAGCGAGCAATTACACGACAACAACAGCCGTCACCACGGCGCTCGTGCCAGGCTATGTGCACTTGGAGGCCACAAAGTGTCGAAGGATCGCGTGCAGGAGGTCATGGACAAGAACCAGTTGCCACGGGTTGACTGAGATGACTAGCAGATGCATCACCAATTATACACCCACTGACTTACATGCTCAACTTACACACATTACACATCCACTCACCCACCCAATCACTCACTCACCCACTACTCACCTACACATCCATCGACCCACCCACCCACCTACTCACGGAACCGCTCACTCTCTCACTCACCGACCCATTCTCCCACTCAGCCACTCACTCTTGACAGCAGCCAAATATGCTAATGCTCCTTTGGCTAAAACCACAAACCAATCCTGACTACTCTAACACTAACCTGGCCTTACCTTGCTCGTACGCATGCGTGTACGTGTGCATGCTGTGTGTGTATGTGTGCGTGTGTATGTTCGTGTGTGTGGATCGGTAATGGAGTGGTTAGCCCTCTGCGCTACGAACCCAGCAAACCCAAGTTCGATTGCCGCTCATGGCCAACACCACCAACGATTATATGAACTAGTCCTGGGTCTCTATTAGGTCGACTCAAATGAGTACTTGATGTTGCTGTGTAAACATCGCTGCTAGGGAGACAAAGGTGGCCGGGCGTGGTGTTAGCCACCCACCCCCTCGTGTGCCGTGCCGGCCTTTGTAGGTGCTCGCTAACAGCACTTGCCCCAACAGTCTGTTAAGGCTATACGGGGGACCTTTGTCTTTGTGCGTGAAGGAGGGGGCGAGGGGCAGGTGGTGCATGTGGAGCGATTTCTCACCGGGTACGGGCTGCAAACGGGCGGCATCGCCACGCTCGTACACAACACTCACAGCAGGTACGTACACACAAACTACACGCGCTCATTTACAACACACACGGGAGATATACACACACTCTTTCACAACACGCACGGGAGGTACACACACTTGATCACAACACACACGGGAGGTACACACACGCACTCTTTCACAACACACACGGGAGATGTACACACGCATTAATTTACAACACACACGGGAGATGTACACACACTCTTTCACAACACACACGGGAGGTACACACACGCACTCGTTCACAATACACACGGGAGATGTACACACGCATTCATTTACAACACACACGGGAGATGTACACACACTCTTTCACAACACACACAGGAGGTACACACACGCACTCGTTCACAACACGCACGGGAGATGTACACACACTTGATCACAACACACACGGGAGCTACACACATGCACTCGTTCACAACACACACGGGAGATGTACACACACTCGTTCACAACACGCACGGGAGATGTACACACTTGATCACAACACACACGGGAGCTACACACACGCACTCGTTCACAACACACACGGGAGATGTACACACACTTGATCACAACACACACGGGAGATGTACACACACTTGATCACAACGCACACGGGAGCTACACACATCCTAATTGGTTGAAGGTTCGGTGTCCCACCACCCCTGCTGTAAGGGAGGCTCCACGCGGGATGTCTGTGTTGTGGTGCGTGTGCTCAGCCAGGGCGTGACCGCTCTACTCATGCTCACCGTGCCCTGGTACCTGAGGCTCTACGTACACACCTTGAGCGTCAGCACGCGTGGCAGAGACGTCGTGCCCAGTGAGTGAGCGAGTGTGAGTGAGCGAATGAGCGAGTGAGCGATAGGGTGAGTGAAATGAATAAGCTAGAAAGTGAGCAGGTGAGCAAGCGAGCGAGCGGGAAGCGAGCGAGTGAATGAATGAGCTAAAAAGTGAGCGGGTCAGCTAGTGAGTGGCCGAGCGAGTGAGCGAGTGGGTGAGTCACAGAGAAAGTGGGCTAGCGAGCGATAGAGCAAATGAGACATGTCTGTATGCATTGGGGAGTAGCGGTTAACTCGCTGCGCTTCGAACCCAGCGACCCGAGTTTGAATTCCCGCTCATGGCCAACAATTATCTGAACCGGTCCTGGGCTCCCCACCCATCCCTCTTCAACAACCATAGACAGTTGTTGCAAACGTCGCTACTCTGGAGACAAAGGCGGCCGGGCGTCGTGCTGGTCACCCACCCCCCCTCTTGTGCCGTGCCAAACTTCATAGGTGCTAATTCTAGATTTGAAGCTTTCGTGACTGCAAGGATTCATATTCTTAGGTTTTTTCGGTAAAGTCACGTAGGTAAAAAAAAAATTAATAAAAGTAAAATAAAAATAAGTACTTGAAACAGCAATCGCGCTGTGACTGTTCCACCTGAAGACGGAAGCTTGTGTTGCCTCCGAAACGTCGTGATTTTATTTTTCTATTTACTTTTATTAATTTTAATTTAATTTTTTTTACCTACGTGACTTTACCGAAAAAACCTAAGAATACTTATAGGTGCTGCTCGCTTAACAGCACTTTCCCCAACAGTCTGTTAAAGGCTACGCGGGGGGGGAATCCTTGTTTTTGTGCGTGCGTGCTCCAGGCTACGTTGGCTACGTTCCGGCCCAAGGCCGCCGTCCCCACCTCCTGGAGCTGCTGCTGCAGCTTCCGCCGCGTTCGACGACGCGCGTGACGCTGAGCTTCGAGCGCGCGCTGCTCACGTGGACCGACTACCCCCCCGACCCCAATCACGGCTTCTACATCGCGTGAGTGTGGGGTCAGAAACATGGCCCTAGCCCAGAGTCTAACCCGGTCTCCCCAACTCCCGAGTCTAAACCCTAACCTACCTCACTGACCCCAATCACGGCCTCTACATCGCGTGAGTGTGGGGTCAGCAACCTGGCCCTAGGCCAGAGTCTAACCCGGTCTCCCCAACTCCCGAGTCTAAACCCTAACCCTAACCTACCCCCCTGACCCTAATCACGGCTTCTACATCGCGTGAGTGTGGAGTCAGCAACCTGGCCCTAGCCCAGAGTCTAACTCGGTCTCCCCAACTCCCGAGTCTAACCCCTAACCTACCCCACTGACCCCAACCACGACTTCTACATCGCGTGAGTGTGGGGTCAGAAACCTGGCCCTAGCCCAGAGTCTAACCCAGTCTCCCCAACTCCCGAGTCTAAACCCTAACCTACCCCTTCGACCCCAATCACGGCTTCTACATCGCGTGAGTGTGGGGTCAGCAACCTGGCCCTAGCCCAGAGTCTAACCCGGTCTCCCCAACTCCCGAGTCTAAACCCTAACCTACCCCACTGACCCCAACCACGGCTTTCTACATTGCGTGAGTGTGGGGTCAGCAACCTGGCCCTAGGCAAGAGTCTAACCCGGTCTCCCCAACTCCCGAGTCTAGCCCCTTACCTACATCGCCACTGGGGAGACAAAGGCGGTCGGGCGCGGTGCTTTCCACCCAACCCCCCTCGTGTGCCGTGTCGACCTTCATAGGTGCTCGCTAACAGCACTTGCCCCAACAGTCTCTGAAAGGCTATACGGGGGATCTTCGTCTTTGTATACGTGTGTGAGTGCATGTATATGCGCAGGTCCGTGAACTTTCATTGACCCAACAGTCCGTTAAAAGTTATTTGGGGGGTCTTGGTCTGTGCAGGTCTGCTGTGGTCACAGCGATGATGCCTATTGATGTCGGAGAGCAGAGCCCCGTGTCTTTGATCGAAGGAACTGGTGGACTGGAACACTCCTACAGGTAAACTCTGGGCGAGGTTGGGGATGATCGCACTGGTCTGGTTTTGTGGGCGTGGTGGTATCGGGGGGGGTGGATGGTGTAGGAGGATGTGTGAAGTGGTTGCCTTGACGACCGTAGGAATACGAGCCATTGTGTCGGTATGCTCTAACCTCTGATTAGCACGGGTGGCTACGCACGGTGCGAAAGAAGTTCAGCATACACAAATGAAGACGCAACCCAAAACGAGAACGTCTGTTGGAAGTTAATAATAATATTATACAGCCCTTTGTCATTACATTGCCAGATAAAGGCCTCCCCAACATCATACGACAGTCACATTGGTCAGTGGCCAGTCAATCAAACTCTGGTCGTTGGATTCGCAACGCAGTTGCCGACCGCACCGGTTTTTGTTTAGTTTGTTGTCCACCTCCAATTAGCACAGTTGGCTACGTGCGGTGCGAACGAAGTTCAACATACATACACATTTGCTTGTACTTGTGCGCACATGCATGCTTGCCTATACATAGATATCTGCATGCTTGGGTGTGTGTGTGCTTGGGTACGTGTACATGTGTGTGCGTGTGATTGTGCCCATCGGTACATGCCTACGTGCTTGTATGCGCGTACTAGTTTGGACGTGTGCGTGTGTATACGTACATACAGAAATACGAATCCTGCTCAATGCTAACACCAGTGATGATAATCTGAACCAGTCGTGGGCCTCCCCGAGATCAACTCAACCTCAAATGAATACCTTGGTGTGATGTGTAAACATCGCCACTGGGGAGACAAAGGCGGCCAAGGCGTGGTGCTTATCACCCACCCCATCGTGTTCTGTGCTGGCTTGAATAGGTGCTACTCCCTGACAGCACTTGCCCCAACAGTCTGTAAACGCTATACGTATGTTTAGCCTTTGAAGCTAGTTGTAATTACTGGCGAAACGTCGTACTCCGATTGTAAATTTTGTGGCTTGGCTCTCCAACACACCGGTGTGCTGTACTAGTGACGAATTGCCATGTTTTGTTTACGCGACAGCCCTTATTAGTTGGCCGTGTCGGGTGGTGGCGGGTTTATCGACACATTTATATTTCCGTGATATAACCCAAAAAACCTGTATTATGGATGCCATTGGTCGCGAAAGCCTACGTGTTAAACTATACGTATGTATCTTCTTGGTTCCTTCGGTAAGTTTCTACGTGACTTTACCGAAAGAACCAAGAAGATGAATCCCTGCAGTCACGAAAGCTTTAAATTCGAAATTATACGTATGTATGTTGAACTTCTTTCACCATAGTCAACCGTGCAAATCGGAGGTTGCGGGGAAAATTGGGGGTTCTTATCTTTATGTTGTTCATGCGTACTTACGCGACGGTGGCTTATCCGTACGTACGTCGTGTGTCGTCGGTGCCACCCGCTCGCAGGCCTCTGTCGCTGGAGCGGGGTGTGTCGCGGGTCTACACTCCCCCGCTGCTCATCTCCCTGCCTACGCCCGACTTCAGCATGCCCTACAACGTCATTTGCCTCACCTGCACCGTGCTCGCCGTCGGCTTCGGCTCGCTGCACAACCTGCTGACGCGACGCTTCACTGTCGCGCAGCCGGCTCCCGCCTCCCGGCTTGTCACGCGCCTCGCCAACGTCCTGCGCCAGATGCGTGGGGTGCCGCCGCTGCAGTGAAACTCCGGCGGCGCCGGCGGCGCAAGCGAGGGGTTTGCGACCTGGCCACAAATGACAGCTCGATGAGGTGGCTTATCGCGTGGGAATTTATATAGCGGCCAAATTACTTTGAAACTCGCCGTCGATTCTAAACGTGGAGGGAAACACCGGTGGACCCGGAGGAAAATCCGCGTGACCACGGGGAAAGAGAGACATGCAAACTCCAAATATACAGCAGATGTCGGGGCCGGAATCGAACCCACGACCTCCTGTATACCAGGCGAGGGAGATAACATCTCACCGCCGCAGCACCCCCAGTTAACTTGCATTCTGCGTGTGTGTGCGTTGTTTCGCCTTACGCGTTGCTAGGACCTGCTTCTTCAGGAATTGACTGTTGTTGTTGTGCATACCGGGAGCGTCTCCTCGTCATTGCTACGGCCGAGGTCATAATTGCGTTTTTTGCAGGCTTTCCGCACACGTGAATGGAATTCATATTTCAACTCTATTCGGCTGCGACCGCGCATGCCGTTCCCGAATAGAGTTGAAGTTTGAGCGAGATTATTAGGTTGCTGAAGATGCTGCCTGCATGTGGAGCGAAATGTCAGACATCGTCCCAAGTGACACGTGGTACGACCCGAAGAACTGACCGATGGCCTTGGCTGTGGCAAAGTGATCCAGTACCGGACACATTACGGCATGGTACCAATAACAAAATTGGAAATGGGATGAAAAAGAAAATCTTAAAAAAAAAAATTGCACACGTGTTGAAGTTATTTATGTTTTTTTACTTTACAAAACCGAATGTAGTCGTGTCACTGTACCGTCACCTCTCGATTATCCGTGAGTGGATGATGCGGGTTGCAGATTAACCGCGCTTGCGGATAAAAATTGTGTAAACCTCTTTGAACATCCTTTGTTAATAACAAACGCGTTGGCAGGTAAACGATGAAGAAGCATTCAAAAGAGTCGACACATTCTACGTCCGTACCTCCACTCGACGTATGCCTGTTTCTATCGTCCGGTTTACATGTTTTGTAGGTTGTTGATGCCCGGATTGATGGCGTTGGAGGAATTGCAGATTATAAGTAATCTGCCAGAACCCGCAACGATCGCACTTCCTTGTGGCTGAAGACCGCAGGAGCTGTAAGCAGTGATGAGTTGAGCACCAATACTGAATCGGAAGCAGAATTTTGATGCTGGTAGGAACCACCTGGTTCCACCAGCCCACAGGGGATTATTGTGTCCGTCCATCGTGCATGGAAAATGGGAGGGGTGGGGCTGGGTGGGGAGGGAGGGGAGGGCTGGGTGGGGAGGGGCTGGGTGGGGGGGGGGGTGGATGGGGAGGGTGGGGCTGGGTGTGGAGGGGCTGGTCACCCCGTGGTGCCCTTATAAAATTCAACGTTTAACCTACTCACGCCGGCTTGTGCCTGCCCTCACAGTCGGGCATATTTGCGGAATACACCACGCCGCCGTTGACCCTGGCCATTGACCGAGCAACCCAACGTTCCTACCAGCTCCCTCCGCAGGAATGTGTTTTATCTTTGAGCATATCCAATGAGCTATGAAGCTCTTTATCAAAGATGTCCAGCAGGGGCGGCTCATGAAGTTACAACAACAAACAAGACGAAAACACGATAGGCTTGCAAATTGTGGGAAAAGTAAGAAAATCACTAAAAAGTCCTAAGCTTGGGCAAGGCAGCAAAAACAGCATAAAAATCAGTCCCAGACCACCGAAACAACATGCGGGTCCATCGATAAAATTGCCCATTAAAATTGCGCATTAAAATTGTGCATTAAAAATGATCGATACTGCACGGGAATACTGGCCATGCACAGGCCTGATGGACATGAAATGATTCTTTACATGTTTTGCTCTTAATTAAATGTATTACACGCTACATTAACCCGAGATAATCGTGAGTTATTGTCGAGTTTGAATTGTTGCATGTGAAATAATTTTACTCAGTCCATGAATGAATTTCAATAATGTGTGCATGTGGGTTTATTGTGAAGGTGTGTGTGTTAGGATGAATAATTATTTGTGACTTTACCGAAAGAACCAAAGTAATTCCTGCAGTCACGAAAGCTTCGAATCTAGTTTAGGATGAATAATGTTTGAAACAATATTGAACACTGAATTGAAATAAAATTTTAAGAGTGGTGCCCGTCATTGTGACTTTGTAAGAATGGGATGCACTGAGAAAAGCAACATCTACATTGCAAAAGGATGATTAATTTCTGCACACATCAGTTTAGTACAGCATACCTGTCAACCCCTTATCAGTGCCCTACCTTATTACAGACAAATTCAGACATTATTGGTCACTCCCCGTGCCCCTTATGAATCTCAACGTTCAACCTGCAAAGTCCCATCAAGGGAGAAACACGAACAAATAGACAGAAAATAAGTATAACCCGTAAAAACAAAGTGTTTCACTATAAATCCTTAATATGCGTGGCGGCTAGAGTCATCTCGTCCTCTGGCTTGAGATGGCTGCCACCTATGGGTCAGATGATTGCATTGCACCATTAAGCAATTGGTAATTAAATATAATATTTTTGTCCTAAAAAGTGTAAAATTTTTGAGAATTTTTTTTTCACGAACATTAATTGTCACGCACAACGAGTCTGTGTAAAATGTCAGCTCGATTGGATCACGGGAAGTGGGTTAAAAAACGACCGAAAGATTTGCACGGTCCTAAGCAAGCAAGCAAGCGAACTTAATATAAAGGATTTAAAACACTTTTTTGTGTTGCCTGTTTTGAAACGGCTGTATGCCGTATCGACCTGAAATCTCAATTTCCCTGTACAAGAATACGGGTAAACCGTATGTGTTGATAGGTATGCTACATATTGGTTCTTTCGGTAAAGTCACGTAGATATAAAACATGTTTTATATAAAACATATACATTACTGAAAGAACCAAAGAGTATGAATCCTTGCAGTCACGAAAGCTTCAAATCTAGAAAGAATGCTACATATTCTTTGGGTCTTTCGATAAATTCACGTAGATAGGTTCAAAGAATATGAATTCCTGCAGTCACGAAAGCTTGAAGTCAAGGTATGCAACAGCCGTTGTATTAGTTTAACCAAGGCAGAACTCGGATAATAGGTTGAGCTCATTCGCAAGGGTCACTACATTGAGAAATAAAATTAGGCCAAAATATATTTTTAAAACCAGTTTTTTTTATTTTACCACGTAAGGCACACAGCTCCATAGCTCGTTTTCAGAAACGGCCTCGCCCCAAATAGTCTGACTTTTTGTGATGCCGTGTGATGGGGGGGGGGGGTGACGTCATTTAGGGACGACCCCAAAGCCATTTTTCACAGATGTCCAATAGCGGCGGGTCAGAACGTTAGAACAACAAACAATACAAAAACACGACAGGAGTGCAAAGTATAGGAAAGGTAAACAAATCACTGAAATAAAACCATACACATAAAACTAAACTATCTTTTTTATTTTACCAGGTAAGGCCCGCTGAGATTATTAGCTTCTATTTTAAGAAGCGACCTGGCACACAAATGATAGCTCAACGAAGTGGCTCATCATGTGGAAATATGTATCAGCAATATAATATGTGAAAAGAGCTTTATAGCTAATCGGATTCCTCTAGTTTCAATAAATATTCTGACTTTGATGCTGACGCCGTTCTACACCAACCACAACAACGATCCGGCAACGCAACTTAGACTCGGAATTAATACAGGTAGGAACAACAGGTTCCACACTGCCCACCAGGGATTATGTGTCTGTCTGTCGTGCATATTTGTCGTGCACGAATGCGCTGTCCAACCAAGTTCCTACCCGCCCACTCCGAAGGAACGTGTTTCTACACCGACCCCACTGCAACGCCTGGAACTGCACCGAAATCCCCGCTGTACCAACTCCATCCCTACATCGTTACCCGCTTGGCACCGATCCAGACCTACCCTTCTCTACCCCTACGCCGACCTACACCCACCTACACCGCTGTACACCATTCTACACCTACACCGCTCTACACCGACTACGCTCTACACCACTCTGCACCTACCCCGACCTACAACCTATACCTACCCCGACCTACACCGATTCCGCTCTGCACCCCCACCGCTCTTACACCTACTCCACTCTACATCTACCCCGACCTACACCACTCTACACCACTCTGCTCCCACACCGCTCTACACCGACTCCACTCTGCACTTACACCCCCCCGACCCCCACCGCTCTAATCCCCCCCCGACCCCCACCCCCCTGCACCCCTCCCGACCCCCACCACTCTGCACCCCCCCCGACCCCCACCGCTCTACACCGACCCCCACCCCTCTACCCCCCCCCCGACCCCCACCCCCCTACACCCCTCCCGACCCCCCCTACTCCCCCCCCCGACCCCACCCCTCTACCCCCCCCCCCCGACCCCCACCCCCCTACAGCCCTCCCGACCCCCCCCCTACTCCCCCCCCGACCCCACCCCTCTACCCCCCCCCCGACCCCCACCCCCCTACACCCCTCCCGACCCCCCCCCTACTCCCCCCCCGACCCCCACCCCTCTGCACCCCCCCTACCCCCACCTCTCTACTTCCCCCCCGACCCCCACCCCCTACACCCCTCCCCACCCCCACCACTCCCCCCCCGACCCCCACCCCCTACACCCCTCCCGACCCCCACCACTCCCCCCCCGACCCCCACCCCCTACACCCCTCCCCACCCCCACCACTCCCCCCCCGACCCCCACCCCCTACACCCCTCCCGACCCCCACCACTCCCCCCCCGACCCCACCCCCTACACCCCTCCCCACCCCCACCTCTCTACTCCCCCCCGACCCCCACCCCCTACACCCCCCTACCCCCACCTCTCTACTCCCCCCCGACCCCCACCCCCTACACCCCCCCTACCCCCACCTCTCTACTCCCCCCCGACCCCCACCCCCTACACCCCCCCTACCCCCACCTCTCTACTCCCCCCCCGACCCCCACCCCCTACACCCCTCCCCACCCCCACCACTCCCCCCCCGACCCCCACCCCCTACACCCCTCCCGACCCCCACCACTCCCCCCCCGACCCCCACCCCCTACACCCCTCCCCACCCCCACCTCTCTACTCCCCCCGACCCCCACCCCTACACCCCCCTACCCCCACCTCTCTACTCCCCCCCGACCCCCACCCCCTACACCCCCCCTACCCCCACCTCTCTACTCCCCCCCGACCCCCACCCCCTACACCCCCCCTACCCCCACCTCTCTACTCCCCCCCCGACCCCCACCCCCTACACCCCCCCTACCCCCACCTCTCTACTCCCCCCGACCCCCACCCCCTACACCCCTCCCCACCCCACCACTCCCCCCCCCGACCCCCACCCCCTACACCCCCCTACCCCACCACTCCCCCCCCACCCCACCTCCTACACCCCTCCCCACCCCCTACACCCCCCCCGACCCCCACCCCCTACAACCCCCCCCTACCCCACCACTCCCCCCCACCCCACCTCCTACACCCCTACCCACCCCCTACACCCCACCCCCACCCCCACCACCCCTACACCCTCCCCACCCCTACAACCCCTAACCCACCCCCACCACTCCCCCCCCCGACCCCCACCCTCCTGCAACCCCCCCTAACCCCACCACTCCCCCCCCACCCCCCTTCCTACAAAACCCCTCCCCACCCCTACAACACCCCCGACCCCCCACCGTCCTACAGCCCCCCCCTACCCACCACTCCTATCCCCCCCCCACCCCACCTCCTACACCCCTACCCACCCCCTACAAACAACCCCTCCCCACCCCCTACAACCCCGACCCACCCCCACCACACTGCACTCCCGCCCCCCCGACCCCCACCCCCTACACCCCTCCCCACCCCCCTAACAACCCCTACACCACCCCACCAAACTTCCCCCCCCCGACCCCCACCCCCCTACACCCCTACCCACCCCGCTAAACACCCGTCCCCACCCCCTACACCCCTCCCCACCCCCTACACCACTCCCCCCCCGACCCCCACCCCATACAAACCCCTCCCCACCCCCTACACCCCTACCCACCCCCTACACCCCTACCCACCCCCACCACTCCCCCCCCCCGACCCCCACCCCCTACACCCCTCCCCACCCCCTACACCCCTCCCCACCCCCTACACCACTCCCCCCCCCCGACCCCCACCCCCTACACCCCTCCCCACCCCCTACACCCCTACCCACCCCCTACACCCCTCCCCACCCCCTACACCCCTACCCACCCCCACCACTCCCCCCCCCCGACCCCCACCCTCCTGCACCGACTCCGCGCCGCGCGCCGCGACGCCCTCAACTGGTCCGCGCGGTGGCCGCCGGGAACGCGCGCAAATGGCGGACGGAGGCGATCACATCGACATCTACGCCGACGTGGGCGAGGAGTTCGGGCAGGTGCGGGTACCCCATCCCCCCGTCTCTCTCTCTCTCCTCTCGCTCTGTCTCTCGATCCCCTTCGGAGGATCCCCTGCGATGCGAGGAGCGGGAAGATGCGGGCTCGTTGTTGGTGTACGGGAGGAAGGGCCGCAGTGGGGGCGAGAGGGGGCGGTCAGGCCTTTCCTAGCGGCTTAGGCCCAAGGCATGCCTCACTGTTCCGGGTCTTAAGTGATCGTGTTAAGAGTTTTAACAGTCGCCGTGGGGTTTTTTAGTCGTGTTGCTGAGTGAATTGTGTATGCGTTTGTGTGCGTGCGTGGTGTGGGAGCAGGGGGGGGGTGTTGTTCGGCGTGGTTTCCTTGCTGCGGCTGCTGAGCTGATGAATGAGACCCCCGTGACCAAAGCTTCCTTAACGAGGCTGCGATGTTCCACCACCAACACGAGATACATAACCGCACTACAAGTTGACACAATAATTGGCGATCACCATACCGTGTCACAACCCATACGGTTTTATTCCGTATTCTTGTACAGGGAAATGTGAGTTTTCAGGCCCACGCGGCGTACAGCCGATTCAATGCGGTCAACAACGTTTTTGTCTATTTTGTGTTTCTCCCTTGCGATGGAACTTTGTAGGATGAACGTTGAGACTTAGAAGGGCACGGGGTGACCAATGATGTCTGAATTGGTCTGTATTAATGTCGGGGTACTGATAGAGGGGTTGACAGGTAGGGATATCTGTCGTATAGGGTCACAACTAGGAGAACGGAGGCTTGTGTTGCTTCCGAAACGTCGTGATTTAATTTAGTTCTCATTTTTTATTTGATTTAATTTGTCATTTAATTTTGTTGTTTTTATTTTTACCTACGTGACTTTACCGTAAAAAACCAAAGGGTATAGAAGAAACTCGCTCCCCCCCCCCCTCAAAGTGTACTACGACATGCGCCTTCGAAAAGCTGCATCTATTTACGAAAAGCAACAGCAACGCGAAACCTACAAATTTGCTTAATCGACGCGCGCTGCCATCTGCTGTGACGACGTCGGGGTGAGGCTATTAACGGAGAAAACGACCCTCGCCATCGACATCGTCATGCTAGCTCCTGTACTCTTGGTTGGTGGCAGTGACCCCGATTCTTCCTCTCCTGCCGCACCGAAATTCTGTCGCGCCAAAATCGGGTTTGCTGTTTGCGGAGTTTCCATCCGCCTCTGCCCCCCTTCTTCGTTCTGCGATCGGGGTATTGCACCGGAGCTCGCGTTGAGTTACAATGATTATTAAAAAAACAACGGAGAAAACCGAAACGTTTATCCGGGAGTTGCGTGAGTGAAGCAGTTGCAGGGGCTGCACCTTACATTTTGTGTGTTTTTTTAACATCCTTTAGTTCACTTGCTTGCTTACGACCGTGCAAATCTTTTGGTCGTTTTTTAACCCACTTCCCGTGATCCAATCGAGCTGACATTTTGCACACAGACTCGTGCGTGACAATGTATTTTCGTGAAATTTTTTTCCAAAATGTTACACTTTTTAGGAAAAAAATAATTATATTTAATTACCAATTGCTTAATGGTGGCAGCCATTCATCTGACCCATAGGTGGCAGCCATCTCAAGCCAGAGGACGAGAGGACTCGAGCCGCCACGCATATAAAGGATTTATAGTGAAAAACTTTGTTTTTACGGGTTAATTTTTTTAATCTCCGGCTCCATTGCCGCTCCCCCCCACCCCCGCAGGAGCAGGACTACAACCGCGACGATGACCTCTACAACGACGTCCTCGCGACGTCCACCAACAACGGCGACACACTCGAGTCGCGCCGCGCATCCATCGACGGACCGAGGGGGGGCGGGGAGCGCGACGATCTCGACTTCCCCGACTCCATGGGTGGGGGGCCCCCCTCCTCCTCCTCCGCGGCCCCTGAGGGCTCCCCCAAGCCCGGCTCGGGGCCCAACATCGTCTACACGTACAGCAAACGCGTGCCCATCTACGTGGGCAACCTCACTTGGGTGCGTGCATCTGCTAACTCCCTCCGGTCCATAGCAAGCCATCGTTTTACGTCGGATAGTACCGCCATGGGAATGTGGAATTTCCATCGCCGTTGACTCATCGCTGCCAATGGAGACGTTTCGGCTCGAAGGCTGCCTCTTTTGTGCATGTTTGCATTCGTACGGAGTGTAACCACCTCTCTTTCAAGGAAGACCTGGATTTAATGAAGCGGTGCCATAAACACACGCGACGAGAGGTCAACAGCAGAGATTTACATGTCCATCCACTGCCCTATTATCAATCCACTGCTGGATGAGGGCCTCTGAATGTCATGCAGATCGTGGGGTTTATTTGACCATCCCTGCAACGATCAGTGAAGGTTGATTTTAAGAATATTTATGATTTCCTAATCTGTAATTATCCTGGAGGAATCCGATGCGCTATGAAGCTATTTTTTACAGATGTCCTATAGGGGGTGGGTTAAGGTGAGGAGCCCAGACTTGGCAGCATTGTAGAATACAGCAATTTGTTATACTGCACTGCCCCACTGCAGCCATTATGTAACCTCGCAGCCCTATGCCAAACCTGTTTGGCATTGTGGTCACCCGTCCAAGTACAATCCATGTGCATCTCTGCTTAGCTTCTGCAATCTGTAGGGATCAGGTGCATTATAGGGTTGTTTGAAGTTGGGCAATGAAGGTGGACGGAACCTTGACATATGAACAGTATGATGCAATAATAAACAACATTGGAATTTATATTTCGGGAATTTCTGCAAAAAATGCATAAGGTTCTAATTGAAAAGCACTTGTGTATCCTTTACCACCCCTCCCTCCACAGTGGACCACAGATCAGGACCTGATTGAAGCTTTCCAGGCTGTGGGGGTTAGCGACGTCCTCGGAATCAAGTTTTATGAAAACCGTGCCAATGGGCAGTCTAAAGGGTGAGTCTCTTTCGCGATTGTGGACTGCCAACTTTAAATTAGCGAACGCTTTTGTATTGGTGTTCACTTCGCAATGAATGTATGTTAACGCCGTCAAACGCTTAGGCAGAAAATCATTATGTTTAGTGTCTGGTGTAATCACGGGTGGCTTAAACCAGGAACTCGATATTGCTGGTTTGGCTCTCTTGACTCCCTGAACCACATCCAAGCTTTAACTGTAATATTTTTTCCAACTACATTTGAACGCATTTTACCATTAGCTGTGTCCATCCGTAATGTAAAGTGTTGTAATGAGGGACAGACCAAATTTATCAAAACGTTGCTCAACAGCTTGCAGACGTAATCCAGACTAAAAAGCACTTTTTGCAAATATGCAATCAAATTTGGCCCTGACTGGTAACTGTTGGTTCCCATTATTGCGAACTGAATACTTCTGAGGACAAACGCATGTTGGACAGCGTTACGTAAAGCATGCATAGTCATGATTTATCTTGTTTTTAATCCTTTCTGCAGCCACGCTTTGTGAGGTATGGGCTTGCTGTTTTCACATGCAAAGTGGCTGTCCTCTTTCTACACCATCTCCACTTCCTCCACGTCTTCCTCCTACACCTAACTCATGCTGACCCTGCCACTCTTCCCTCTTCCTGCTTGTCCCTTCGTCAGGTTCGCCATCGTGAACCTGGGCTCGGATGTGGCAGCACGTAAGCTGATGGACCTGCTTCCGAAACATGAGATTCATGGTCAGGATCCCATCGTGACTCCTTGCAACCACCAGACGCTGAGCCAGTTTGAGACTCAGTCCCGAAAGAGTAAGTGTTTCTCGCCCTCTATCGTTTGTGCGATTGGTTGGTTGATTTTTTTTTAATCAGTAGAAAAGAGCTCCTATAGACCAACGAGACCAGCGGCCTCTCTATCATGTTTAGAGCTGTGTTTCCACGATGAGAGTGAAATTGCTAACAGTCACACATGTACAGAGATTTTGTCGAGTCCACTACTGGATGAGGGCCTCCCTACATCACACGGGTCGTGGCTTATTTAATCGTACTCCACAACACCGGTCAATGTGGGTTGTTGAAGGTGGGGACAGTGAATAATGCAGTTCAGCAAGAAATACTTTTGCTCTGTCCTTTGCTGACAAATGCAGTTCCGCAGCAGGTGTACGATGTATGTGTGTATGAATGTTGAAATTATTTTTCGCACTACGTAACCAACCGTGCGAATTGGAGGTGCGGAAAGTATGTGATTCCCTCTGTGCATGGGAAGCACTATCTCGGCTAAACCCTGCTTAGGTTCTGAGCTCTGATGAGATGGAGTGTATTCTAGATGGTTTGGTATACTATTGATTTACTTATGTGTGTTTTAACACGTAGGCTTTAGTGACCAATGTTATTCATAATAGAGGTTTTTTGGTTAGATTGTGTGGATATGAATGTGTCGCTAAACCCGCCACCACCCAACAGCTCAACCTTACACATTAAACCTGACCACCTGACAAACCTTACTAATTGGCTGTGTCGGGTTTAACGACACATTTATATTTACGCAATCTGACCCAAAAACCTCTTACGGATATTTATGTTTTCGTCACTGCAAAAAGTAGTACAGCAATGAATTTTTTTTCAAAAAATCTGCACACAATTACGGTTTGTGTTTTTAGAGGTCGTGACCTGGCCTGGAGGGGGGGGGATGACCATTTAATGGAGAGAACTACTGGCTCGGTGACCTCCCGTGCGTGGAGATTAAATCCGCATGGAGATTGTAAACGCTCCTGAGGATTACGGATTAAGGCGTGAGTTAATAACAACTGCTACTGAGTGCAATGACTTACATTCACTCTGTAGGAGCTGTCATTGGCTCCAAGACAGATTTAGTTTTTCTAAGAGAACTTAAGCCGACGTTCGACGTCTGGTTATTTATTTTCTCCTTCCCCTTGTCCGTCTCCAGATTTCGGCCAGGTGGACCCCGCTCCGTGCAACTGGAGCAAGGGGGGCAGGGTGGGCCAGTCTCCCCCTCCGCATGGTCCCTCGCGCGGGGGTCCTCCCTCTGGCGGCCCACCCCACCACCCCGGCCCCCTGGGTGCCCCCGGCCCCCACGGGCCCCCCTTGATGTCCCGGGGAGTGCCGTTGTCCCTGCAGGGCCCCCCGATGATGGTGGCGGCGCTGCCCCCTCCGCCGGCCGCTCGCTTGGAGCGACCTCCGCCGGGGCAGCCGTTTCCGGGACAGCCGTTCCCGGGGCAGCAGCCTCCGCCGCACTTTAACGACCTGCCCCCTCCTCGGCCGGGATTGCTGCCCCCTCACCACCACCCTCACCCCCACGCTCATCCCCATCCTCACCAGATGCCCCTGCCACCGCATTCGATAGGTCACCACCCTCACCAGCAGCAACAGCAGCAGCAGCAGCAGCTCCCTCCTCACCACCCCCACCACCACCCTCACCATCCTCAGCACCACCCGGGGGCGGCACAACTGCCCCATGGCCCGCACGGCCCGCACGGCCCGCACGGCCCCCACGGCCCGCACGGCCCCCATGGCCCCCATGGCCCCCATGGCCCGAACGGCCCGAACGGCCCCCACGGTCCCCACGGCCCGCACGGCCCCCACGGTCCCCACGGCCCGCACGGTCCTCACGGTCCCATGGGATTCGTGCCGCCCCACCACGTAGGCCAGCAGGGGGGGCCGCCCCCTCCTCCGCCTCCGCCGCCCCCCCACGGGGCCTTCCAGCAGCGGCCCGGCCTTCCCATGCCGCCCCTCTCCTCCTCTCTGCCCCCGCCCCCGCCGCAAGTGCGGATGCTGCCCCCACACCACGGGGGCCCCGGGCCGCAGGGCCCCCCAATGATGGGGGGCGGAGGAGGACCCCCCATGGGCCACCCCGGGCAAATGCCGACGCCGCACGTCAACCCGGCGTTCTTCCCTCCACCGGGGGGAGCCGGAGGAGGAGGAGGGGGGGGAGGAGCAGGAGGTGGGGGGGGCGGGGGGGGGCAGCTGCCCCCAATGCCGCCGCCTAACGCGGGAGGAGGAGGGGGAGGTCAGCAGCGTCCAGATGGTGGGAGAGGGGGTGGCCCCCCAGGCCCTCCAGGTCCTCCGGAGCAGTTTGTGAGGCCGCCGCCGGGATACGAGTGGGGGGAGTACCGACCCCCCCCGCAGGAGAGGTGAGCGTGCGCTGATCACGCCGTGCATTGTTGTCAGAGCTGGGGATTGGTTGGGGCAACAGCTGTCAGGGAGCGATTGTTGAAGGCTGTGGACATGTTCATGCCTGGCCGCTCTTCCCCTTTCCTTACCATTTATTATTTTAGATTGCGGCTGGGGTAGACGGCGGAATGTTTAATTGCTCGTCAACCGACCCTCCCCATGCATCTCTATTTTTTGGTCGTGTAACGTCGTAAAGCCTAAATAATGTATCTGTTTTTTTAATGACGCGATAAACCAAATGCGCTCTATATATTGAACGTACGAATGCCACTGCCCACCACGCCTGACCCCGTTCGCTCTGCCACCCCAGCCACCGGGAGGCTGAGGGGCCCCAGCTGACGGAGACGGAGTTCGAGGACATGATGACGCGGAACCGCGCCGTGTCGAGCAGCGCCATCTCGCGCGCCGTCTCGGACGCGAGTGCCGGCGACTACGGCAGCGCCATCGAGACGCTCGTGACGGCCATCTCCCTCATCAAGCAGTCCAAGGTGTCGGGGGACGAGCGTTGCCACGTGCTCGTCGGCTCCCTGCAGGACTGCCTGCACGGCATTGAGGCCAAGTCCTACGGCTCGGGGTCCAGGTGAGGGGACCGAGCGATGGGCGGAGGGGGGGGCGGTGATGATAAGGAATGAAAGAGGCTAAAGGCAGTGATGGGCAACCCGGATGAGTGGGTGGGCCATGTGAGCACGGCCCTCCTTCACCTCGGTGGGGCCGCAAGCTTGACATGGTACTTGTGCACCAATCACGACCCCGCGGATGTATGTGCGGACGTTGAACGTCTTTCGCACCGTACGTAGCCAACCGTGCTAATCGGAGCTACAATGATAGTGCTTGGTCACCTGATCACAGTGCAAGGATGCGCTTTTGCGGTCGTCTGGAACGCACTTCCTTTCGATATTACGAAGCCACTGGTGCGATGCACTTTTAAATCTAGGTCGGAACTAATTTCTTTAAAACCTCCGATTAGCGCGGTTGGCTATGTACAGTGCGAAAGAAGTTCAACATAAATGTATACAAGGCATTCCTGGGTTATTTGGGTGGTGACATTGCCTGGCGGAAGCACGTTTCGCAGTTCGAATCGTGCAGCCACCCTGATTAATGCTGCGGGTGTATTAACCGGAAAAAATAATACATGCTGTCTGCGGCCAAGTTAGAAAAATTATCCTCTAATTACTATTTTGGAGCATTAATAGCAATCGTCGCACCCCGACCGTGAAAACTTGGTAGGCCCTTCCTGAAAAACATAATACATATTCCAGATGTGTCATTTTAGCAAAACGCGTTGGGCATTGTCTTAAAAATGGTTACCGTTTAATATTGTTTTTATATGTCAAAATGGCACGTATTTAATGGTCATTAATTTCAGGTGTGTGTAAAAGGCTGGTTATCTGTGTGGGGGACAGTTGTAAAAATGAGACAACTTGTCATGATTTGTCGGACACTTGTAAAATCAGAGTAGGTATCTGGGTGTGTGTGCGTGTGGGATAATCGTGGGAAACTTGTACAGTCAGACGAGATACCTGCGTACGTATGGGTTCATGTGTACAATCAAAATCACCCGAGACACACTTAGACCAGGCCACCATGAGGCGCTCTGTGGGACGCTTGCGACTCACGAGCCGCAGCTTGTCCACCTCCGGGCTGGGGCAAGGGGGTCGCCAACCCACGACTTGATTCCATACGGCCCGTGGTCACGTAAGGCCCATCGCTCTGACTGGCAAAGAGTTGAAGGGGCTTGATGGAAGGGACATATGAAGGGTTAGGGTGGGGTGAAGAGGTTTGGGCGAGAATTGATTGGGGGTGAGTGTCGGCTTGATACTCGAGGGGTGAAGAGTGTAAGGTGGGAGGGGTGACAGGTAAAGGGGTCCTAGGGTGTGTGGCTGAAGGTTTAAGTTAAGAGGTGATGGGATGACGGTGGGAGGCGGAGGGGTTCAGGTGTAGGGGTGAAGGGATGGTGGATTGGCATCACAGGCGAAAGGATTGAGGGCTTAAAGTTCCAGATGAGCATTGCCCCTGATAGTTACGTGTTCAGAGGCCGCGTCGATTTTTCTCACCGTCAACCACTAGCCCTCAAAACGTTTTCCGCCTTCTCCGGTCCCGCCCCGCGCTCTCAGGAAACGCGAGCACTCCCGCGATCGCGATCGCGAACGCGATCGGGACCGCGACCGAGACCGCGACCGCGACGGGGAGTCCGGGCGCTCGCGCGAGAAGTCTCGGCGCCACAAGGGCAGCGGCAGCCAGCGCTCGCACAGCCGCGAGAAGTACGACGACTACTACCGCGAGGGGGGGGGCGGCGGCCGCGAGCGAAGCCGCGAGCGCCGGGACAAGGAGCGCGACCGCGACAGGGAGTACCGCCACCACTAGAGACGAGGTTTGTGAACCGCAGCCGCCGCCGCACATGCACACGCACGCACGCACACAGACACGCGCGCGCGATGCCCCCCTTTTGTATGAGACGGGGGTTTGCGAATCGCGGCTTGCAAATCGCAGTCGGAAAGTGCAGGGAAAGCGACGCGGGCGTGCGTGCGCGCGGCTCCTACGTGCCCAGTGTGGGCGGAGTGACGCCACCAAAAGGCGAGGTTTGTGAGAATCGCAGCGGCGGTCGCTGGAGAGCAACGCGCGCGCACGGGGGGCGTGAGTTGTACAGCAACGACATCGCGTCTGAATGTCGCGAGGGCGTGACCGCCGCCGCTGGGACAAGGTTTGTGAAACGCAGTCGGAAAATTATATTGACACGTTTGCACGCGCACACACAAAATGCGCGGGTGTGTGTCTCTCTGGGTGTAGCGATGATATCGAGCGGGAGTAATGACACCACGAGACAGGTTTGTGAAGCACCGCCAACAAGGCTACACGCAGACCACATGTCCACACACAAACTTACCTGTGGGCGCACACGCGCACACATGCACACACTCCACAAGTGTGCACACACGCACGCGCGTTGGCTCACCGAGAAAAGGTAACGTCACTTCTGTGTAATCTGCCAGATGAGCAGCTGTGCAGCTTACACACTGCCCTTTACACACACACACACATCGGCATCTGTTGCTTAGACACAAACGGTCACCCAGCAAGTTTTTGTGGTAATTACCGTGCTCTCTGGATTGTTAAGATGCTGCGGAAAGTTAAGACGCACCCAAAACCTTATATCGGGTGAAAAGAAAGTTATGCAAATCTGGTCACACACAGAAACCCACTGAATGATAAGACGCACGCCCACCTTTTACTTAAAAATACAGGGGGCAAGAGTGCATCTTATAATCCGAAGAATACGGTAATTAATGTACTGCTGGTGCAGTGCATGTGATGGTTTGTATATTACATACGATACGACTTCAAGGGCAAGGATGCTACCAGCGTACTTGACACACAACTTTAATCTTTACGATATCTGCCACCGGACGGTAAGTTTATTTTTCTTTGGGTGTTGTTGCCAATTCTACTTGTGGCTTGCTGGTGTCGCGTCACGGGACCAAGAGTTAATGTTCGGAACTCTCGGCGGAGCAAGCGGCGAAACCACCTCATGTCAGAGAATGACCCCGGAAGATGATGTCACTGAGCAACTCCTGAAGTCACTTCAAACGGGGGGGCCCCTCTCTGCGCGCACTTAAGAGAAAGCGTTTCGATACGCCTCGAGTGTCCGCCGCGTGACAGATTGAACCAACGATCGTTAGTCAACAGAGCTGGAATAAGCCAAGTTTTTAAAAATTAAAACCAAAGATAGTTTTAGTTTGGGTGAAGTCCTAATAGCCAGGCTGAAACCATCAAACACGCTGCGTTTGAGAACTCTGCTTAAGCAACCGCAGATGAAACTCTTGATTCAAACGCAGGATCTTTGGCAGAGCTGTCTCAGCCTCTGACCCCAAATTCACCATTTGAGGCCACCTGTCCACCTCGAAACTCAAGGTTTTTAAAGCTGTCAACTGCCTTGGCAGCTTTATCGTTTGTGGCGATGTTATCCCTTCTATGCTGATCGCTCATGGTGAAGGCAAGCGTTTGATGAGGAGTGTTAGAGCCCGAGAGCGACGATCGCTATTTGTGCTTGGGTTTCACTCCCTTGGTGTGCAAGTGGAGTGAAGAAAGACGGGGAGAGAGGGGGGTGTTTGGAAGGGGGAGCTCATGTATAATGCCTTACAGTATTCCTAAAATATACGTTTATTGCAAGGTAGTGCTCGTAATAACACGAGCGATGTGTTTTTATTTTTATTTTGTACGGTCACTTTGTTTACCTTTTATAGATAAGTTCAACGAAAATAACGTTTTTTAGTAAAATAAAATTGTAACTTAAAACTAAGCATCATTTTAACACTTGCTGTAAGGAAGTGTTGAGCACTTGCAGTTATTTTCCAGCGGTGCGGATTTTTTTCAGTGGTTGTTTAGGTTTACCTATACTTAAATAATATAATTTATTAATAATATTTATATCCCTCCCCCCCATAAAGTAACCAAACGCCCTCGGAGCACCGTTTTTTTTCCTTTAGGGACCTGCTGATTGATGGCAGCTGTCCCTGTGTGGCACAAGGTGAACTCGGCACCTGGTTTGCACGTGGGCATTCGTGTCAGGTTACGGGGTTGACGATTGCTGTGTAATCCCAATTGAGCAATTCACGCGTTACGTTTAGAACGCGTCAAATTTTGGAGGATGACGCTAACGCGCAACGGGAGGGGTGGGGGGGCGGCTTCTATTGCGAATGACGTCAGGGGATCTTTTAACGCCCACTGTGTGACGCGAACGGGGCGCGTATATTTTTGTTACGGTTTATAAACCCGCGGTGTTAATCAGGGGTGGCCTGCCGAATTCGAACCGTGAACCCGCTGCAACAAACGACGAACGCGCCACCGCTGGGGCCACGTCACTGTCCCGCTTCTAAAAGTCCGGTCAACCAAGTCGGGGGTGGGGACAATGAAATGGTCGTGAAGTCCGCGCACGTGTTTACAATGTGTGTGCGTAATGTTGAGACGTCTTTCACACCGTACCTAGCCAACCGTGCTCATCGGAGCTACAACGATGGTGCTCGGTCAACATGATCACAATGCAAAGGAGGATGCGCTTCTGCGGCCGTCTGGAACGCACTTCCGATGGAAAACTAATTTATTTAAAACCTCCGATTGGCACGGTTTGGCTACGTACAGTGCGAAAGAAGTTCAACATACCCCATTGGAACCTTATTTGCCAGTAAAAATATAATTGTTTTTTTACCCTTCTATCTGGCAACAAAACTGACACCTTTTTTACAAGGAGTCATGTTTACATAGACCACAATACCTGCAGTCATAATGCAAACAAAAAACATAACTCTGATAATGTATGCACTGTCCTTGAAGTTGATTGGTCCACACCCGAGACAGCTTTCCTTAGAGCCTAGTCTCACATGGGTTGGACCAGATGACGCCAAGATAGAAGGATAAAAAACCAATTATCAAGTTCAACATAAATACATACAAGGGATTCCTGGGTTATTTTGGTGGTAACATTGCCTGGCAGTAGCACGTTTTTTGCTGCTTGTTACAGAGGTTCGCGGTTTGAGTCGTGCGGCCACCCTGATTAATGCTGCGGGTGTATTAGCCATAACAATACTACGCGCCGTCTTGCTTCCAAGTTAGAAAAATCATCCTCGGATTACTCTTTTGGAACGTAAATAGCAATCGTTGCACCCCTACCGTGAAAAAACTTATTAGGCCCTTTTTGAAAAACTATAAGTCACATTCCAGGTGTGCCATTTTAGCAAAACGTGATGGGCATCGTCGTAAAAATGGTTACCGTTTAATATTCTTTTGAAAATGTTCAAACGGCACTTAAGTATTTTATGTACATATTAATATCAGGTGTGTGTGTGTGTGTGTAAAAGGCTAGTTATATCTGTGTGGGGGATATAAATTGTGTAAAAATGTGACGTGTCTTGATCTGTAGGGCACTTGTACAAATCAGATTAGAGATCTGGGTGTGTGTGCGCGTCTGGGATAATTGTGGGAAACTTGTACAATCAGACGAGATGCCTGGGCTACGTATGGGTTCACGTGTACAATCAAAACAGATATCGGGGTGTGGGATAATTGTGGGAAACTTGTACATTCAGACGCGAGACAGCTTGAGTGTGTGAAAAATTGGTGCAGAGTAGGTGTGTTTTGGATGTTGAACACTCCTAGAATCGTTCCGAGTCCAATCAGGCTGGATGTCTGGTGTATGTGGGATGCTTGTACAGCATGGCTGGGCTTTTACGATGAGACTGGATATCTTTTGAGTGTGCGTGACGCTTGTGAAATCAGCATAGATATCTGTGGGACACCTGTACTGAATAGATCGTCGGGCTTGTGGGAACACTTGTTACAATCGGACTGGACATTTGCGCTACGTTTCGAAACTTTTGTTGACTCGGACGAGTACAATTAGAATAGATATGTGTGTGTGTGTGGGACGCTTGTACAATCGTGAATAGATATTCGGTGGGATAATTGTGGGTCATTTTTTATAATCATACTTGATATCCTGAGCGGATAAGTTGTACAAATAGGACGAGATACCTTGTGTATACGGGGGACACCTGTTAATGCTCAGTTTAGATGTCTGTGTGCATGCTCTAGACGTTTATTAAACGGGAGTGGATGGCTTGATTGTGGGACGCCTGTGCAATAAGGTCACGTAATGCGGGGACACTGGTATGATAAGGTTTGCAGATTTTGGATTTTAGCCGGGTGTTTTGTTCAGGTTACTTGAGTTCATAGCAAGTGTCTAATGTGTGTGGTCTGCATGGTACCTAAATAATGTTATTTTTTATATATATCAGTTGTATGTACGTTCATGGTTTAAGTAGTGTACAAGGTTTAACTTTGAACGTAGCAGTCGTTGTGCGTGTCTGTGGGTCAAATCCAGCACATTCTGCAAATGATGAGGAAACTCATCATGACAGAAATGCGTTCGGGCTGGATACGGATTGGCTAATCGCATGACATGCGATGCATGATGGGAGTTGTGCCTTCCTGCTGTTTGTGAGCGCACCTTTGTGTGTTGTTAATTCGACGCATGCGGATGCGTATTAATAATTAAGTAATAGCGTGTTTACTTATTAATGCACACGTGACGCTGTTTTGGTCATTAGGGTGTTTTGACCATACTTCACTACGCTGGTCCATGTCGGTTGTTGAAGAGGGGGGCGGGTGGGGAGCCCAGGACCGCTTCAGATATCAATCGCCACTGATGTTCGCTGTGGTCGAAAATCAAACTCGGGTCGCCAGGTTCTCAGTGCAGTGTGCTAACCACTGCTGTCACCGAGTGTGTATGTGTAACATTATTTCAACTTGGGCGACATTTGTGCAATAAACCTTAATGTGTAGGACGCTCATGCCAGTAGACTGCCGAGTATGTGTAGGACACTTGGTGCTATTAGATAAGTACACATATATATTTTTTAATATTTGTATGTTAAGTCAATCTCAGGATTTTGTAAATTTATCAGCAGTTTTTCTAAGCATATATTTATCATAATAATAAAAGCGTTCCCCCCCGCGGGTATGTTTCGACAGGGTTCGTTCGAAGCGAGGTGACGCTTGAGTTTGCGTCAGAGCAAAACAAATAAACGACTCCAAATGACTAAGACAATCCCTGGCCTCAGTCGTCGTGGTACGTGTGTTTTTGTGGCACAGCGGAGTCCAGCAGTGCAGAAACAATCCCCCCCCCCCACCTCTCCCTCCTCCTGGCTCGCTTTGCTCTTCTCTCGCGTATCTTGCAAGCGTCTGCTACAGTCGGGTGCACGGTGGCACCACGGGAATGTTGACCCAGTTTACAAACCAACGACTCGCAGCGCCCTCCTCGGTGGACCAGGGTACAGAAATCGTGACGACATCGAAGCAATTTTTAGTGAGGTTTTACGGTAAGAATTCTCGCAACTGCTAGCCAAGAACGACATTTACGGTATTGGGTGTCGTAAATGTACGAGAGATCTTAACGAGTCGGGACCGCTCACAAGGCGATCGTAACCGATTCTAATTCGTAACATTTTATGACAATGTCAATAGCATTTATCATATTTTCATACTTCGTCACAGGCATGGTTAAACGCATGGAGTGGTGACATCATGCCCAGCGTGTTGACTAGGTACTCTTGTCGTCTTCCTGTCATGTGATTGGTAGGTGCAGTGTAAGTGATGACTTAATTCCCAGCAATAGATCTTTGGAGAGTGAGAGTTAGGATCTCACTACGAATCCCCCCACTTTGACTTGTGATTATTTCTCTTTCGACTTGATCATACTACAATCGTAGCCTGCTTGTTCATGGGAAACATTAAGAGCATTGTATCTGTACTCTACCCCCAGGTACTGGTGTCATTGTGGCTGTGGTTTCAGACGCACAAAAGGAGTCTGGGACTCGCTAGCTGTCGGACAAATTATTGTCACGCCCAAAAGGCACCACAATAAATGACATTACGAAAGTTACACGTGTAAACTTTAAATTACACGCGTAACGAGTACCCGGAGAAAACCCGCAAATGCATTCAAGGGGCATAACACTCAAAGATCCACACAGATGGGTTTACAAATCATTGCTTATTTACGGCTACCCCCCGGCCACTTGCCACTTCTGCGCTCACAATCTGCATCCTGTTTCCGTGAAAACTGCAAACCTCAAGCCAGGTACAAGTGCTTGTCCATAGCGTCTGATGCGTTGTGTGCGTGCGTGTGTTCAGTTGTACAACCGATTGAGCAGTTGAATCTGACTTTCTGTGGTCGATAACTTAGGCCCCTTGAAAAATAATTCCGGTCACCCGGAAAGGTTCTGTCTCCCGAAGGCAGGAACTTCCCACCCCCATCACCTTGCAAGTCACACTCAATGGGATGTCGCTGGTGAGACCAATGACGGCACCAAACACCGCCATGACCTCCCGTCCAGCGGCACATCTCAGATAGAAAAAAAACATAAACGTTGATTTTTTTTTCTGTTGCTCACCACCGAGAAGGGGAAACCTAAGATGCAAAAATGAGAGAAAAAAAAATCCTCCACACAACTGTAAAAGTTACATGAAGAGAACTGTAAGTATTGGGAACACAAATGTCTCGAACGCAAAGGGCCTGACATCACAGCTCATCTCAACCCTGCAGTAATCGAGCCTTGGGGCGGTGGGGGGAGGCGGGGTCAGGGGGGACCAACAGTGGCATCTGTCCCTACAGGGCACGGGGTGTAGACCACACGGGCTTGCCGTGAATGGGTGCAGTCTGCCATCAGGGGGCAATGTTACGCTGTGGGTTTTTGAACTTGGCTTGAACACCAGCGGTAGTGTGTTGCGTCACGTTTACATGAAGCGGGGGTTTCACTGCACCTTGGTGTGAGCGGTGGGGGGGACCGTGTGATGATGTGTGCGGGTCGTGGACGGCTGGATAACTTCTGTAACCAGTGCGGAATGACAGCGATGGTATTTACTCGGTGTACGTATGTTTAACGTCTTTCGCACCATAGGTCGCCAACCATGCTAACAGGATGTGTGGTGCTGTGAGGTGGCATAAAAACACCTACGCTCGTGTGGGTAAGGGATGGGTAAAGAGGATGTTCAGGTCTCAATGCTAACGGTGGGAGGGGAGGGTGGGGGCTCTGTTATTATTTATGAGGTACGTGGATTGATGGGTCACTTCTGTAACAGGCAGGATTGGTTGCATTTTTTTCACTGATAGTCGTTGCTGTGAACTTGCTTAAACACTTTCGTTGTGTGCGTATTTGAGATACATGTGTATTTGAGGTGCGTAAGGAGGAGATTAATTTGCAATGTGTGAGCGGTGTGGACTATTGATGTACACTATTGGGTTTGTGGATGTGAGTCACTTCTGTACCATGGTGGAATGATAGGGATTGTATTTACACCAGCAGGCTGTGTTGTGAAATTGCTTCAGCACCTCGGCTGGGGTGTGTTAGGCTTATCTAAAGAGGTGGGGAGGGGGGGTCACTTTTTATTGGCGTTAGCGGTGGGGGGACCGTGTATTGACCTATGGGGGTTATAAGGTCGCGCTTATCACACACAAAATGCCTGCCACAAATGAACTACAATACCTTTGCGGATCTCGTCAAGGAGCATAAACCATCACGTGAACTCGGGTCATCCTTGTAGCGGCTTTTGGCGAACCATCGAACAAAGACGGTCACTGCATCGCGCGCTTTCAGATGCGTTTCTGCGGCCGTCTGGAATGCTCTGGATATTAGGAAGCCACTGGAGCTATGCACTTTATAATCATCGAGTTGAAAAACTCATATCTTTAGAACTGTTTTTTGTTGTTGTGTTTCCCCCACACCTCCAATTATCACGATTGGCTTAGGTAGGGTGCGAAAGAAGTTCAACATTAATTGTCATTTAAACTTGCAAGCAAAAGTTAACGTTCATCGCGGTCAAATCGGTCTAATTGAAGTCCAGATTACAAGCCACGTGTGCGATCACTGCTCACGTGCAACCCCAATAAAGTAATTAATAAATCGCCCCCCTACTTGAACGTCGTGCTCCGTGAACTTCATTCGCACCCCATCCTCTTCCTCCTCTCACTTTGCTGCGTGAATCGCTTAGGCGCTTGGTGAGCGTGAGCTCGTGGAGGAGGGAGAAGGAGGTTAGGGAGAGAGAGAGAGAGGAGATAGAACGTGCGCTCTCCCAGGGCCGCCCGTTGAGCTGCCTGCCGCATCGACAAAGTTGCCGCGGCGAAACTGTTCACGTTTGAAGCTGAATCGCGAATGCGGGGACCGTGGTTGATTTGTGGACATGTGTGATCGATGCTGTTCATGTAACGTTCGTCACTCAAAAGATAATTTTTATCCATTGCGATTCCGTCATTTTATGCACACCCAACCGATGGTGTAAAAGTAAAAAAAGATATCTATATCCTAAAAATAAAAAGTTAGTCGGATTTAACAGTAAATTTTTGACATGTATACCATCTTCATCAATTATCTGCCGGATGAAGGCCTCCCCCATTCCGTGCGAGTTCTAAGGTTTTGACCATACTTCACCACGCTGGTCAGTGCGATCTGGTGAATGAGGGTGCGGGCGGGGGCGCAGGACCGGTTCAGATCAAATTTCTCGCCGCTGATGTCGGCCGCGGCGGGGAGTCGAACTCGGGTCGCTGGGTTCAGCGCAGCGCGCGCTACCACCGCGCCACTGCTCCACCCGGTATCGATGTAAACGAGCGTAAGCGGGTCATCGGGTCTCGTCCGGGATTTTAAAATGATTGCGGTTCGGTCTCCCGCTTGTGTGTTAATGACAAGGAGAGCGAGAGAGCGAAAAAAACAACCCATTGCCGTGTGACTGAAATGAAATTCCTCTGTTTGTACCGTAGGTGGCACAGAGCACAGACAGGCTAGCACTCGCTGCTTGGCGTTTGTGCCTCCCCCTCCCACCCTTCCCACTTCCCCGCCCTGCCCTGCCCATGTATTCGTTGCGAATCCACCCCAGCGCTCTCAGATTATCATTGCACTGCGGCTGCCCACGTTCATGCGAATGCAAACAAACAAACAAAATCGGACTTGCGGTCGATCCGATGACCGCACGAGACAACCACCAATCGCCTCTTCGCAACGTCGCCCACCAGCCGTCCCGTCGTCCACCAGCCCAGCCCAGCCCAGCTCAACGCGAGGACCTCATCCCTCCCACGCTCTCTCCACGTACGTGATGTCTGTGCGCTCGCAAATCTCTGTGTTTTCGCTTGGAATCGTTGCGTCGGTTTTTGTCTTGCGGCGCTTTTCGCAAAGCTTCTGGCCTCCCCTTAGTCCTCCACGCTGCCCTGTCGTGCCAGCCTTCTCGCCTCGCCGATGTAGACCCGGTAGTGGGTCAAACTTTCCCGGTGGGCCCACACCTGTTGCAACGAGAGAGGCGGATGCGGTGTGTGGCCCGGGAGCAGAAAAAATGTCGGGGGGTCATCAAACCCGGAGAGACCCGGCTAAAGTTAAGCCCCGTAAACGCGTTTCTGACTCCTCCGTGTGTTCGCCATTTCGGCGGAATGGAGCGACGGGCCGCCCTGTGCCGTTGTTGAGATTTTCGTTTGGGTGTGGAGGCAGAAAAGTCGGGAACCAATCAGGCCGCGGGTACGGGGGAACGGGGTGGCTCGTGCTGAGGAAGCGCTCGCTCACCCTCTCGCGGCTGGTTCTCTTTTTTTCTGCCTGGAAATACACGGCTTTGCAACCCCAACGGTGGAGAATTGCTCTGATATAGCAAAAACGATACTGAAACGCATCGGCGCAGGAGATGATATTGATTGGCTCGAGTGGAAATTGGGCAGTTCTCCTTCCTGATTGTGGCTCCCGGCTACAATATTGTGTGCTGCGGTCGTCATGGGCTTGAGATTGCCCTCCTTGCTGCGCTGGACGGCGCGGAGGTAGCTCCCACAATGCAAGGACGACGTCTCGGCGCGGTCGCAGGCCCACCCTCCCATTCGCGAGCAGAGACGAGTTGAGGCTTTCAGTGTGGCTGCCAAGCCCCTTAGAGGGCGCTGGAGTTATACGTGACGGTGCGCAGGTGGCTGTCTCTTTTTTTAATTTTCCTCGCGTACCGAAGCTTCAAGCTTCCTGTGGAACAGCCCTAAGACGCAGGGGTTTAATGGCGCACCTACAAATGCAGCAGCCGTTTTCATTTTATTTGTAGAGCTGGCGTCTCCCTTTACGGTTGGCGATGCGCGGCATTTTCCGATGATGACCGTGATGAACACGGCGATGTTTTCTGAAAAGTAGAAATTCGGAGATAATTTACCCTTTCCCGTAAGGGGGTGGGTGGGGGGGGGGGGGGTTGGCGTTTTCCAAATGAATGTTGCGTTGTAAAGTTGTCGCGAGCTTTGCTTTTTTTTAAATCTTAATAATAGTGATGTACGCGTTGTTTTGGTTTGTTGCTAGGCCAGAGTGTTAATTGTGTTTCGTACAATCGAACCTGTTACAGATTTAAGGCTTCAAAGTTAAGAAACATTGTAAACCGTGAAAAAGTTCGCTTGATAAGAATCGGGTGGCGCAGCCTCGGGCGTGGTGTGGATTGCACAACCGCGCTATAAACCCCGCGACCCGGTTCGATTCCTGACCGCGGCTGACATCGGTGGCGACTGTTGTCCCCGACCGATCGTGCATATCCGTCACCAAATGCACAATGACCAGCTTGGTGAAGTATGGCAAAGCAAACCCCCATGACCGACACGGCATGAGGGGGAGTCCTTCATCCAGAAGTGGATTGACAAGGGCCTGTGACGTATTATTATCATTAACGTAAATAGTCGACCCTTAACTAAATGTGAGCGGCCGTGCGACATGAATAGGCGAGTCTAAATTATTTACCTGCTCACAAACGAGCGTGGTGGAAATTCCACATTCCCGCAGCTATTTTCATGATTTTCTGTTGATGATCATCACTTAAGATGGCGATGAGATGAGTTGGCCCACGATTTGAACTTTACAGACCTTCCGATTGCGAGTTGAGCTCTCAGACTCTCTCACGGTCGTGCTGACGGCCTGACTTGATCACGAGCACACGCGACCTGTAGGCATGCCAACAGAGAGTTTGAGGTGTGTTTCGGCCGTGTGTTGTTGTGCATGTGATGTTTGAAATAAAGTCTTCTGAACGAAGGAAGAGGAATTTACAATCACAACAAACTAAACAACTCGACACACGCGTCAATAACACTACCCCAAAGTATATAATAGATGACGCTTTATGCAAATGGTTTTCCTTCATAGCACATGTTATTGATGAACGTGTTGTTATTATGCACCACTGCCATCACAGTAGCCGCATGACCAAATCACCAGATCATGTGTTTGAAGGCTGCTTGAATAATGTGTTGTTTGCTAAAATGTTAAATGCAGTTCGGTTTATTTTTGACAAAAAATTTTTTTCCATTTTGTTGTTCATGTACAATACAATACGTACAACAGCTATATAATGTTCTAATAATCATTCTGAGCCCGTTTGTCAGTCCGCCGATCGATGGAGGCGTCTCCTCCATGCCACGTCGGCAATCGGCGGTTGTTTGACCATATTCTAGATTTGAAGCTTTCGTGACTGCAAGGATGCATACTCTTAGTTCTTTCGGTAAAGTCACGTAGGTAAAATATGAAATTAAAATTATAAAAAATTAAAAAAATAAAATCACGACGTTTCAGAGGCAACACAAGCTTGCGTCTTCATGTGAAACTGTCACAGCAAACTTGATACAGATGTTTTGCTGTGACAGTTTCACCTGAAGACGGAAGCTTGTGTTGCCTCCGAAACGTCGTGATTTTATTGTTTTTATTTTTTATAAATTTTAATTTCATTTTTTACCTACGTGACTTTACGGAAAGAACTAAGAGTATGTTTGACCATACTTCGCCACGCTGGTCAGTGCGGGTCGGCGAAGAGTGGTGAGAGAAGGCCGAGGAGCGGCTCGGATGCCACCCGTTGTTGGCCGTGGACAGGTATCGAACTCGGGTCGCCCAGTTCACAGCGGTGGTGTGTTTCAATCACCGCACTAACCCCGCACCCACACAACAAAATGCTTGCGTAGGTATGAAGAAGTAATTTTCACCATCGCAGCTGATTAAAAGTGAAAATTGAGCGAGTTGTGTGGGAGTTGAATCGCAGAAAATTGAGATGAACGGCTTGGACTCAGCCACGATGACGAGACGTCATCTCCCTCACCTTTGCCTGTATATTTGGAGTTTGCGTGTCTCCCCGTGGTCGCGTGGATTTTCCCCCTCCGGCTCCTGTTTTTACCTCCACGTTCAGAAACATGCCTTTAGAATATTTGGCTGCAATAAATGTCCACGTGATAACCCACACTCCGTTGAGCTATCTTTTGTGGCCAAGTCGCTTCTGAAAAAGAGCTTTTTTTAGCTCAGTGGACCTTACCTGGTAAAATAAACATTTTCGACAGGTCTCTCTCCATGACCGAGCCATCGCGATGTTCTTTTCTGCGTGTTGCATAAACAAAAAAAATTACGTGCATTTGTAAAACGAGTTGGATTTTGAAATGGGTGAAAAATAAAATGTAGTTGCGTTCGCAAGCTGTTACGAATGTTGGCGTTGGATTGTGACCGTTTCGTCGATTCTGGCGACAATGTTGACAACAGCTTCACTCGTACGTTGGCAGAAAGTAAAAAGACTGTTTTGTGAAAACCGTACCGAGTTGCATTCAAATTCTTGCCCAGCGTGTGTCTGTGTGAAAACTGAATTTACTTCTTGAAAACGAATTTCTTTAGAACTGCTTTTTGTTTTTGGTTTGTTGTCCTTTCACCCCCCCCCCCCCACCAATTATCACAGTTGGCTACGTACGGCGCGAAAGAAGTTCAACATAAATAAGTACGTGTGTGGACGGTAAACACTTCAGAGCAAATTCAAGCTGTGCACCACGCCCAAATACTGCACTGGGTGTGGGCGGTTAATTGGTCGCGTCGGATATGTGACGACCGGATACGAGACGTTCTACTACTGTGTTAAATATATCGTTGAGAAAGATCTTTAAGCATAAGAATACAACTTAAAGGGAAGACTTTTTTCCCCCCACCACGTGTACGGTGCCGAGAAACCCACGAATTATTGCCCTTCGATGAAACCAAGCGAAGAAGCAACCGATAACCACTGCCTATGGATTAAATTGACCGGTGATTGACATCTTGGTTCTTTCGGTAAAGTCACGTAGAATGGAAATAATTAAATAATAACAATAAAACAATACAATAATTCTCGCGACGTTTCGGCCACAACGCAAGCAGCCGTCCTCAGGTGGAGAACAGGTCTGTCGAGAAGAAAGAGTCTGAATGACACACCCCAGGCTTGGAGCGTCTATTTAAGCTGGGATGATTGACAATTTACATGCTTTTTGTCGTGCGCAACTCCCCAAATGAACCGTCTCGCTCGGAATTGGAATATTAATACTGCAGGAGGAATCCGATGAGCCATGAAGCTCTTTTGCACAGGCGTCCACTGGTGCTCCTGAATCAGTTGTGGAAATTCCACCTTCCCTTGGGGTGGGTGGGTGACCATTGCCTCCATTGACCAACCACCGTCGCGACTTTTCACAAAGTGATGCGCGTCAAACCCACAGATTCACACAACGCACAGCGGAGTCTCTTCCTGTCACTGCAAGGGGCTACAAATGTAGCAAGTGGGAGAATTAGAATCGCAGTTTTTGTTTGCCGGGTCAAAAACATCGCCCCTCTAGGACCCGATCAGAGTGTGGTGGCTGAGACGCACGCAGTGACGGAGGGTGCGTTTTGCGTATCGGCCCCTCCTGGGCAGGTCCTCGTGTCGTCACGAGTGCTGTGTTCGTCGGCCTCTTTAAACACGCAACGATTCGAGAGTCAATCATCTGAAAATCTTTTTTATTTTTGATCAAAACACGTGCGATTACGTATTTATTAACCGATTCTACGTTTTTAAGATTAGTAATTTACCACCATCGCAGTCTACGTATGCAGAGTAAATACAGTACCCATCTTCTTGGTTCTTTCGGTAAAGTCACGTAGAAGGGAAATAATAAAATAATAAAAATAAAACATAAAATTATTCTCACGGCGACTGCTTGCGTTGTGGCCGAAGCGTCGTGAGAATTATCTTATTATTTTTTATTCTTATTATTTTATTTCTCTTCTACGTGACTTTACCGAATGAACCAAGAAGATGAATTCCTGCAGTCACGAAAGCTTTAAATTGAAATTTACTGTACCCATGTTTTAAAACAAATGTTCACCCTCTTTTATTTGTAACTATTGTAGAGATAACAAAAAAACATTTACTTTGTCTCTTTTACCCAGTTTAAAGTTAACCCGATATATATATTTTTAAAATTCTCAGAGCTGGTATTTAGACAAATTAAATACATAAGCAGAATTAACGTGGTGGTGGTGTTTTTTTCTTGTGCCGTCATTGGTGACCGGGCTGAGACCACCAAACTCGATGCACTCAAGGACCCAGGCAGGTTCACAGGTGGCTGAAACCTGGATTCAAACCTAGGCCCTTCGAGCCACCCGTGCCACCTCGGGACAGACATCAAATCACGGAGAATCACTCGTGGGGAGAACACATCGAGAGGACGGGATGACGGAGCGGTAGTGACGGAATGGAATGCGTTTGAGAGGATGTAGGTTGCTGGGGTGGGGGATTAGGGGGTTGTTGAACCGCGGGACCGTGAGAGATCGTGGCATCTTGGGGAGGCCCCCATCCAGCAGCGTGGCCGATGACGATGGTTAAGATGCATTCACCTGTGTGGTGGATGGACATGCCATCCCACGGAGCGATGGAATCGGACCGCTGGTGCAGCTTCTGAGCGTCGCAGGGTCATGAGCAGGTGGCGGCGTGGGCTGGGTGCAGGCCACTCGTCGACCGTCGGACGAGATTCGCGGCCGAGCGAGCGACATCGGGCCGTGGAGACGGAGCGATGGAATCGTGCACGCGGCGCAAGGAGGAGCGGCATGGATCGTTGCCTCATCGCAAGACCGTGGGATGGGGGCGAGGCGCGGTGGTGGTGACGGATTGGGAAGACCTCTATCCAGCGGTGGATCGAGTGGAGCTGATGATATCGACGATGACGATTGTACGTGCGTCGAACTTCTTTCGCGCCGTGCTAATCGGAGGTACGGCGGGATGGGTGGGAGGGGACAAACACGCACAGAGAAGCAGTTCGGTTCGTGCAGGGCCCGTGCGACGCGCCGCCCGTGCGACCTTCGCTCACTGCACGAGACGCGACAGCGCCGACAGAGCGAGCGAAACAGGGACGAGGAGGGGGGCTGCGTCTCGGAGGGGCGCCGACGATTCGCTCTTCAATTCGATGTCGGTTCTGCACCCGGTTTCAAGCAGTTCCTCTTCTGGAATCCGGCTGTCGTCCGGCAGTTTGCTCTTCTGAGAATCCCTCACCTGCAGAGCGGAGAGCACCGGAGACGTTGCTTAAGACACGGCGCAGATCAACGCCAACCAACAACCACAGCCGCCATTCGCCACCAAGTGGCAGGTGGCAATCGCAACAGGGGTGCACTTGTGCCATGCCACGTGGCCACAGCTGGTGAATCTGCCAGGCATCTCAGTCGGTCAACCCATTAACACCTAGGGCTGTCCTGTGACATCCTGCACCTAGCCTGGTACTGTGGGGAGCACAGGGGGTGCATCACGCATTATCTAACCAGAGGAATGTGGAATTTCCACTACCGGCTCTGGGGCTGTTAACCGGTGATGCGCACTGCCTTCTCAGTGCTAATTGGGTGCCACGGTGGCGAGGAGATGTTAACTACCTCGCCTGGTATACAGGAGGCCGTGGCTTCGATCCCGACCCTGACACCTGCTGCTGTATATTCTGAGTTTGCGTGTCTCCTCTCCCCGTGGAAGCGTGGATTTTTCTCCTGGTCACGTTTAAAATAAACATCACGCGTTTATGGAGTATTTGGCTGCTGTACATTTCCACACGACAATGAAAATCCACTTCGTTGAGCTATCATTTGTAAGTGGGTCGCATCTGAAAAAATTAACCCGTAAAAACAAAGTTTTTCACTATAAATCCTTTATATGCGTGGCGGCTAGAGTCCTCTCGTCCTCTGGCTTGAGATGGCTGCCACCTATGGGTTAGATGATTGCCTGCCACCATTAAGCAATTGGTAATTAAATTTTTTTTTTTAAATCCTCAAAAGTGTAAAGTTATGGAAATTTTTTCACGCAAATAAATTGTCACGCACAACGAGTCTGTGTGCAAAATGTCAGCTCGATTGGATCACGGGAAGTGGGTTAAAAAACGACCGAAAGATTTGCACGATCGTAAGCGCGCAAGCAAGCAAGTGAACTTAATATAAAGGATTTAAAAAGAGCTATACAGCTCAGTGGGCCTTGCCTGGGAAGATAAAAAAAATCGTAGAGTTTAATCAGCATCAAGCTTGCTTAGATTCTGAGATCTGATCGGATGCGTCCCTTGGTGATCGTATCTCGCGTCGCTGGGACCTGTGACTTGGTCCGAGGATGCTCGGACGAAAGGACACAAGATCGTGGGTGATGACGGGATTGTAGAAGATTTCATCCAGCAGTGGAACAGCGCATGGCTGCTGCTGACGATGACGATGAGTGCAATGGACATTGCTTATTAAGGCCTAATTCAGGTGTAAGTCATGAACATGAGAATCGAGGTGATACGGCGCCTTTCAGCTCGGAGGGGCGATGATTGTTGCGTGGTCTAGCCTAGGGGACCCCCCCCCCAGTGGCAGCTGCCCCTGTGTGGTAGAAGGCGACTTAGCAACTGGCCTGCAAGTGGGCATTAGTCCGTGTCAAATTCTGACTTTAAACTTTCGTGACTGCAGGAATTCATATTCTTTGGTTCTTTGGGTAAAGTCACGAAGATAGAAAAATAAAAAAATATAAAGTAAATAAAAATAAAATAATGAAAAATTAAACGATTTATTTTATTCTTTTTATTTGTATTCACTTTATTTTTTTATTATTATTTTTCTATCTACGTGACTTAACCGAAAGAATCAAAGACTATTACTCTGTCAGTCGGGGGCTATTATTGCTTTGAGGTCTCGCCTCGGGGACCACGGTGGCTCAGCACCTGGCGTGCGAGCAGTAGGGGGCCGTGATTTCCACCGCTGCTGCCGCTGCTGCTGTGTGTGTGTAACCACCTGCTCCACGGCCTTCATGACTCGCAGCAGATTTCCACCCAGCGCCAACTTCACTTCCGCCTCGGTCCAGTTCCTGTTCAGGAGCTCGGCCACCAGGTGTGGATATTTGGAAACGTCCTCCAGTCCCGTGGGCACCCTGACAAAGACAAGGATCACCCCACCCCGTATAGACTTTAACAGACCTTTGGGGAAAGTGCGGTTAGCGAGGAGCATCTTCTGAAGGCCACTATGTATGTGTGTTGAATTTCGTTTGGCACCGTACGTCAGGGGTCCCCAACCCCCGGGCCGTGGACCGGTACCGGTCACGTGGCCTGTTCGGAACCGGGCCGCACAGCAGGAGGTGAGCGGTGAGTCCGCGGGTGGGCCGTCCATTATTTTAATTACCGTCCGTGCCTCTTTCCTGCACTGCGCACTTGGCTCAGCAGTCACAGTGTTGGTAAGCCCACAAGCTGCTAACCTCTAGCCACAATGAGTAAAAAAGCAAACGTCGCTGGAGAGCTTCTTTGAAAGGGGGGAAAGATTTAGATTTAAAGCTTTCGTGACTGCAGGGATTCATATTCTTGGTTCTTTCGATAAAGTCACGTAGAAGGGAAATAAATAATATAAATATAAAACAATAAAAATTCTCACATTTCGACTGCAACACAAGCAATCATTATTACCAAGAAAATGCTCTTGCTGTGGATTTCACACCTGATGACGATTGCTTGTGTTGCAGTCGAAACGTCGTGAGAATTTTTATTGTTATATATCAATATTGTTTTATTATTTCCTTTCTATGTGACTTTACCGAAAGAACCAAGAATAAGGGGGAAAGACCCAATGATGAAACCCCCCCCACCCCGGTCCGTGAAAAAATTGTCTTCCACGAAACGGGTCCCTGGTGTCAAAAATGTTGGGGGCCGCTGACGTACGTAGCCAACCGTGCCAAGTCGTGGTGCTACCCAGGCAAAGTGGTGGGTGGCCCAACACCGCGCCTGACCGCCTTGTGCTCCCCATTGCTGATGTTTACACACAGCACCAGGTGCTCGTTTAAGGCCGAGTCGACCTAGGGGAGGCCCACGACCGGTCTCGCATCTCCCGGTTCGTAGCGCAGCGCGCTGAACAATGCGCCGCCGCTCCTCGACATCCAAAGACAAAGATCCCCCGTTTAGCCTTAGCAGACTAACCACGTAGATACTCTTTGGTTCTTTCGGTAAAGTCACGTAGGTATAAAATAAAATAAATCACGACGTTTCTGGCGCAGCGCAAGCGACGTGACTTTACCGAAAGAACCAACGAGTACGGTCCTGCAGTCACGAAAGCTTCAAATCAAGATTTAACCACGTAGACTTTCGCGACCAATATTATTCGCAATAAAGGTTTTTGGGTTCGATCGCGTAAGTATAAATGTGTCGTGACCCTCCACCACCCGACACGGCCAATCGGTAAGGGATTTGTCACGTAAACAAAACGCCGAATAGTCACCCCTTCAGCCCACCGGTGTGTTGAAGAGTGAATCCGCAACATTTACAATCTGAGTACGACGTTTCGCTGGTAAATTCCATCAACCAGCATCATTGGGCAATTTGCCAGAATAGTGAAGCAATCCACCTGCTTCCGGTCTTAAATAGAGCAGGATGACGTCATCACTGAACCCAATTAGGTGCAGAGATCAGATCTTAAATTTGGAGCTTTCGTGACTGCAGGAATTACTCTTTGGTTCTTTCGGTAAAGTCACGTATAAAGATAAAATAATAAATTAAATAATAGCATACGACGTTTCGATTGCAACACAAGCAATAATCATCAGGTATAAATGAAATAGCAACAAAAATCTAACCAGAAAACTATAGACAAGACATATAAGCAGACAGATATCATCAAGATACATAGAGAGAGAGTAACACATAGGCACACAGAGAGGGAGATCGTCTCTGTGGCGAGGCCTTAAATAGACAGAGGAGGCGGGGGCGGAGAGAGAGATCAGATCTGACTCCTCTTTATTTTTTTAGGTGCGTGACGTCATTTATGGACGGCCCCTTACCTCGGCACTCCGTCGTAATCCCCTCCAAAGCCCACCGACTCGTTTCCAGCGATTTTCTTGATGTGGTCAAAGTGGTCTAAGAGCGAACAGAAGGGACACACGTTGTGTTCAATCGCGATGCGTGCCATTCAGACTCTGCCTTCTCGACAGACCTGTTCTCTTTTTTTTCATTAACCGACTAGAAAAAATTGTAATCCTGCATAATGCACGGGCATAATATGACTTTGAAACCCCCCGCCCACCTCCTGCGCATTCCACAAGTAGTACTAATCCCATATCTGCATTTACCATAAATATGCTAAATTCCTCTTGATATGCAAATTATTTTGTCAAGGCGCTCTTCCCCTTCCAACCCAGCTTAAATATACGCTCCAAGCGTGGTGGTGTTTCATTCAGACGCTGTCTCCCCGATAGACCTGGTCTTCACCTGAGGACGGCTGCTTGCGTTGTGGCCGAAACGTCGTGAGAATAATTTTATTATGTTTTATTTTTATTATTTTCCTTCTACGTGACTTTACCGAAAAAACCAAGAACATGAACCCTTTGTTAATCCATTGCTGGATGACGACAGCCTCCCCCCCTCCCCCGCGCCGTTTCATATCGCGTTGCGGTGGTTTGACCATACTTCACCACACTCGTCAGCGCGACTATTGTATGTAGGGTGTGTAGGTATATATAGAGTCAATAGATACTACTGAGTCTATTGTATGTAGGGTGTGTAGGTATATATAGAGTCAGTAGATACTACTGAGTCTATTGTATGTAGGGTGTGTAGGTATATATAGAGTCAGTAGATACTACTGAGTCTATTGTATGTAGGGTGTGTAGGTATATATAGAGTGAGTAGATACTACGGAGTCTATTGTATGTAGGGTGTGTAGGTATATATAGAGTCAGTAGATACTACTGACTCTATTGTATGTAGGGTGTGCAGGTATATATAGAGTCAGTAGATACTACTGAGTCTATTGTATGTAGGGTGTGTAGGTATATATAGAGTCAGTAGATACTACTGACTCTATTGTATGTAGGGTGTGTAGGCATATATAGAGTCAATAGATACTACTGACTCTATTGTATGTAGGGTGTGTAGGTATATATAGAGTGAGTAGATACTACTGAGTCTATTGTATGTAGGGTGTGTAGGTATATATAGAGTCAATAGATACTACTGAGTCTATTGTATGTAGGGTGTGCAGGTATATATAGAGTCAATAGATACTACTGACTCTATTGTATGTAGGGTGTGTAGGCATATATAGAGTCAGTAGATACTACTGACTCTATTGTATGTAGGGTGTGTAAGCATATATAGAGTCAGTAGATACTACTGACTCTATTGTATGTAGGGTGTGTAGGCATATATAGAGTCAGTAGATACATCATACTACTGACTGGATTGTATGTAGGGTGTGTAGGCATATATGCCTACAAAATTACATAATTTTATTAAGCGGGGGGTAGGGGGTCGAAAAATGTTGGATCTCTGTTGGATCAACTTTTTACCACCAGATCTGGGGGGCGGGGGTCCACTTTCTATAACTTTTTTGGATTCAGGCCTTCTGAAAGTTCTCTTAATTTAGCTGACGGACAAACGTAACGCGGGGCTTTTATAATAAATATATAGAAGGGAAATAATACAATAATAAAAATAAAACATAATAAAAATTAAACAATAAAATACAATTCTCAGTGAGAATTGTATTTTATTATTATTATTTTATTATTTTATTATTTCCCTTCTACGTGACTTTACCGAAAGAACCAAGAAGATGAATCCCTGCAGTTACGAAAGCTTTACATCGAAAAATAAATATATCATTTTTATTTGACCAGGTAAGAGCTATGTAGCTCTTTTTGTTCAGAAGCGCCCTGGCCATCACAAATGCTTGCTCAACTAGTGGCTTATCATCATCATCATGTGGAAATGTATAGCAGAAGCTATGGCGATGTTGATTCGAAATGTGGAGGGGTAAAACCCGGAGGACGCGGAGATAAATCCACGTGACCACGGGGAGAGAGACACGCAAACTCTAAATGTAGAACAGACATCAGGGTCGGGTTTGAACCCACGACCTCCTTGCACACCAGGCGAGGTAGTTAACATCTCGCCACCGTGGCGCCCCACGCTACCCAGAGCGTGTCCCGATGTAACTCACTCCTCGTACTGTCCTGTGACTATGGCTCTCTCTCTCTTTCTCTCCCTCTGTGCGTGAGACGAGTCGCGTCTTGCTGGTGTTCTCGTCCCAGGCTCGGAGTTCACAGCGAACATCAAAACCATTTCGATTTAAAGCTTTCGTGACTGCAGGGATTCATCTTCTTGGTTCTTTCGGTAAAGTCACGTAGAATGGAAATAATAAAATAATAAACATTAAATAAAACATAATAAAATAAAATAATATAACAATATAATATAATAATCTAATAAAAGAAAAAATATAATAATATAATAATAATGTTTTATTTTATTTTATTATTTACATTCTACGTGACTTTACCGAAAGAACCAAGAAGATCAAAACCATTGAGAAGGAAGCTTCGGGGGGATTGTGTTAGCACGGACGTGTAGCACCAAAGAAAAACCCGTGCCTGGAGGGCCTGCTTTTAACAGGTTCTGCTTAAGTTAATTTATTTTGTTAACCAGTTAGAGAACTAAATAAGTATAACCCGTAAAAACAAAGGTTTTCACTATAAATCCTTTATATGCGTGGCAGCGAACTTAATATAAAGGATTTAAAAATATATTCGCCTGTGGAGGACGCGGGGATCGATCCCGCGACCTTTGGCATGGGAAGCGAGGGCGCTACCAACTGCGCTACTCCGCCACGGCCTGTGGAGGGGTTACGCTCTGGGCTCTTACACTCTGACGTTCAGCCAAAGCCATGAATGCGTTCTATTTGAATATATGTAAAATAAATTTTTTTTGCCTAAAAAGTGTAAAATTTTGGGAATTTTTTTTCACGAACAATAATTTTCTGGCACAACGAGTCTGTGTGGAAAATGTCAGCTCGATTGGATCACGGGAAGTGGGTTAAAAAACGACCGAAAGATTTGCACGGTCCTAAGCGCGCAAGCAAGCAAGCAAGCGAACTTAATATAAAGGATTTAAAAAAAGAACATCAATAGACCAGGATGAGTTTTATTTGCAAGAGTGATCTGGGACCAATTAGCCTGGCCAACAGGGGCAAGGTTGATTGATGCAGTGTTTAATCCAAACTGAGTAACTTTCTTTGTCAGTTCTAGATTTGAAGCTTTCGTGACTGCAATGATTCATACTCTTAGGTTTTTTCGGTAAAGTCACGTGGGTAAAAAATAAATAATACAAATAATATAAATAATAGAAATAAAATAATAAATCACGACGTTTCGGGCGCAACACAAGCGTCCGTCATCAGGTGGGACAACCATAGCACGAAACAATTGCTGAAGTGTGCAATTGTTTCGTGCTGTGGTTGTTCCACCTGATGACGGACGCTTGTGTTGCGCCCGAAACGTCGTGATTTATTATTTTATTTATATTATTATTTCTATTATTTTTTATTATTTATGATTTATTTTTACATACGTTTCTTTTTTCTTCTTGGTTCTTTCGGTAAAGTCACGTAGAATGGAAATAATAAAATAATAAAAATAAAACCTAATATTACGTTTTATTTTTATTTTTTATTTTTAAACGTAATATTGTTTTATTTTTTTATAATTTTATTATTTCCATTCTACGTGAACCAAGAAGATGAATCCCTGCAGTCATGAAAGCTTTAAATCGAAATGTATACTTTTCTTTGTCAGCCTGCATTAACGGTGATGGTGACGAGGTGTCTAAGACCGGCTCAAATATCACTCGCCGCTGGCCTTTTGGCGTGGCCGGGGAATTAAAACTTTGGTCGCCGGGTTTCATAGCGCAGTGCGCTAACCGTTGCGCCACCGCTCCAAGCACACGCAGAATGTGCTTGTGAGCAACGTCTCAACACGAGTGACGCCTTCGCTGTAGAATGCGTGAACGTACCTGCGACGTTTGACAGCGTGGCAGTCATTGAACAGGTGACGTAGGCATTGAAGAAGTTTACCATCACCACACTTTTCGTCTCTTTCTGGAATAAAAGACACAAAATAAAGACTTTTTTTGAATGTCGGGGTTTGTATTTTTTAAATCCTTTATTTTAAGTTCGCTTGCTTGCTTGCGTGCTTGCGTGCTTGCTTGCTTGCTTACGACCGTGCAAATCTTTCGGTCGTTTTTTAACCCACTTCCCGTGATCCAATCGAGCTGACATGTTGCACACAGACTCGTTGTGCGAGACAATTAATGTTCGTGAAAATTTTTTTCCAAAATTTTACACTGTTTAGTGAAAACAAATTAAATATTTAATTACCAATTGCTTAATACTGGCAGACAATCATCTGACGCATAGGTGGCAGCCATCTCAAGCCAGAGGACGAGAGGACTCTAGCCGTCACGCATATAAAGGATTTAGAGTGAAAAACTTTGTTTTTACGGGTTATACTTATTTACAGTTTCAGTCGTAAAGGCAAACTTAACACGTAGGGTTTGACGCAGCCAATATTACAATTCAGAATGAACGATTGGGTGAGGCCACGTAACGATCTGACCAAATTTGCGTCGCGCTGAATTTCTCCTGGAATAGTCCAGAACGCCGTCCGTTGAGACGATTTCGATTATTTTTTGTTGCTATAAATTTCCCAATGACGAGCCACTTTGTTGAGCTACGATTTGTGGCCAGGTCGCTTTTGAACAATAAGTAAATAACCTCAGTGGACTTTGTCTGGTCTGATGGGTATGGTGTAGTTTTATTTCAATCTGTTTCGAGTGATTTGTTGAACATTTCTTGTACTTTGCACTCCGATTGTGTGTTTTATTTTGTTTGTTTATTGCAACGTGTTTACCCGCCCCGACTGTAAATCCGTGAAAAAAGCTTAATAGCTCACCGGATTCCTCCAGTTTAAATAAAGACTCTGATTCTGACACCCATCTCGGGTCGATGTTGTCCTCGCAACGCCGCAGATTGTGTGATGTTTGCGTTTGTGCTTCGTTTGTTGCCTTTTTCCCCGACCCCCGATGAGCACGGTTGGCTATTTACATTGCGAAAGACGTTCAAAATACATTCGAACTCCTGCATGCCAGTGTGTCTGATCCTTGTAGCGTCGCAGACAAAATTATACACGGATTAAAATCTTTTTTTTGTTCCTATCGGTGCATTGCTGTGTTTGTTTTTCACGATCATGTTCAGTTTTTTTCTTCTTGGTTCTTTCGGTAAAGTCACGTAGAAGGGAAATAATAAAATAGTAAAAATTAAACATAATGAAATAATTCTCACGACGTTTCGGCCACAACGCAAGCAGCCGTCCTCAGGTGAAGAAACAGGTCTGTCGGGAAGACAGAGTCTGAATGTATGTCTTCCCGACAGACCTGTTTCTTCACCTGAGGACGGCTGCTTGCGTTGTGGCCGAAACGTCGTGAGAATTATTTTATGTTTTATTTTTATTATTTTATTATTTCCCTTCTACGTGACTTTACCGAAAGAACCAAGAAGATGAATCCCTGCAGTCACGAAAGCTTTAAATCGAAAGTTCAGTTTTAATTAAAAAAATTACTTCGGGTTGCCCCTCTTTATTCTGTCGTTCTGATCCTGGTCTATGGCTTCAATGACTTCAACATGTGAATATTGATTGTATAATGGAGGAATCCGTCCAGTCGGGACGGGTAAGAACGTTACAACAAATAAACAAACACGATAAGTACAAAAAGGTAAAAACAGATCACCCAAACACAAACAACAAGTAAAACTAAACCATCCCCATTCCACCAGACAAAGCGCACACTTCCCTAGGCACACACGTGCTCAAGATGTCATACAAAGACAAGGATCCCCCATATAGCCTTAACAGACTGTAGGGGCAAGTGCTGTGAAGGCCCGAACGGCACACGACGGGGTGGGTGACCAACACCACGCCCGACCGCCTTTGTCTCCCCAGTAGTGATGTTTACACACCGCACCAGGTACTTATTCAAGGCTGAGTCGACCTAGGGCAGGCCCAGGACCGCTTCAGATAATCGTCACTTTGGTGTTGGCCGTGAGCGGGAATCGAACCCGGGTCGTCGGGTTTACAGCGCAGCTCAGCTCAGCGCTAACCGCTACACTACCGCTCCCCACACACACACACAGGTACACACACACAGGCACAAACAAAGATCCCCCATATAGCCTTAACAGACTGTAGGGGCAAGTGCTGATAGCGAGCACCTATGAAGGCCGGAACGGTACACGAGGGGGTGGGTGGCCAGCACCACGCCCGACCGCCTTTGTCTCCCTAGTGGCGATGTTTACACACCGCACCAGGTACTCATTTAAGGCTGAGTTGACCTAGGGGAGGCCCGGGACCGGTTCAGATAATCGTCACTGGTGTTGGCCGTGAGCGGGAATCGAACTCGGGTCGCCGGGTTCATAGCGCAGCGCGCTAACCGCTGCACTACCGCTCCCCAATCCTGCTACGGGTGACCAGATGTTACCAGATGTTACTCGAATTCAACTTCTGGTTTCCTTTACGACGAAACCGTCCTTCAACGAGGACGCGGGCCTCCCGTGACGCCAAAAATCGCCCGACAGTCGATGCGACGTCGTGTCAGCCTATAGTGGCATTGGGGGTGGGGGGGGGGATGATTAACCGAGTTGAGTATATTTCGATTGAAAGCTTTCGTGACTGCAGGGATTCATCTTCTTGGTTCTTTCGGTAAAGTCACGTAGAAGGGAAATAATAACATAATAAAAATAAAACATAATAAAATATTGTATTTTATTATGTTTTATTTTTATTATTTATATCACGTAGAAGGGAAGTAATAAAATAATAAAAATTCAACATAATAAAACATTTTTACATAATAAAATATTGTATTTTATTATGTTTTATTTTTATTATTTATGTCACGTAGAAGGGAAATAATAAAATAATAAAAATGAAAAACAGAATAAAAAATAAAACGTAATAAAATATTGTATTTTATTATGTTTTATTTTTGTTATTTATGTCACGTAGAAGGGAAATGATAAAATAATAAAAATAAAGCATAATAAAAAATAAAACATAATAAAATATTGTATTTTATAATGTTTTATTTTTATTATTTACGTTTTATTTGTATTATTTTATTATTTCCCTTCCACGTGACTTTACCGCAAGAACCAAGAAGACGAGTTGAGTAAAATGCAGGTTTTTGTTTGGTGCCAGCGCTTCTCACCACTTTGAGCAGGAGGTCATCCGGCAGGTTGCGGTAGTGCTTGCAGATCTCGAAGGCCGAGGAGTGGCTGAAAATGATGGGGGCCTCGGAAACTTCGAGGGCGTCCCGAGTCGCTTTCAGGGAGACGTGGGATGCGTCCACCATCATTCCCAGGCGATTCATCTCCAGCACCACAAGCTGTGGACGGCAGCGGCGCACGCAGCGCGGTAAGGGGCCGCCCATAAATGACGTCACGCGGGTTTGTACGATTTTTGCCCCTCCCCCCCCCTTCGTCACACGGCGTCACAAAAAGTCAGACCCCCCCTCCCCCTCTCAAATATGACGTCACAAAGCTCTGCCCCCGCCCGCCCCCCCCAAAAAATAAAACACGCTTAAAATTGCTTTAAACTATTGTCATTGTAGTGCGTATTTAATGTGGCGCTGCGCTCTGATGTTGTAGGAGAAAACATTTATTAAACATCTTCTTGGTTCTTTCGGTAAAGTCACGTAGAACGAACCAAGAAGATGAATCCCTGCAGTCACGAAAGCTTTAAATCGAAATTTATTAAACAGTCTATTTAATTAAGTAGAACGTGTTGTCTATATTCATTTAAAGTTGCGCATTTTGATGTGACGCCACATTTCTCAACCCCCCGACCCCCCCTCGTCACACATCGTCACAAATGTCTGACCACCCCGCCCCTGTAGGTGCGTGACGTCATTTATGGACGGCCCCTAACGAAAGAAGTCGATAAGAAGAAGAAAACGAGCTGGTCACAGCGTCCCGTCTCACACGGAGACGGGACCGCTGGGTGTGTGGAGGCGATGCCAGATGATGGTCGGGTCACCGAGGTGCGTCAACTTACTTTTCCGAAAGGAGAGAGCCCATTGGAGTGTGACGGATCCTCGCCACTGTCCACACGCCAGTTGTCCACCCTGCGCCAAGAATGCAAACATTTTCTAGTCGTCTTCTTGGTTCTTTCGGTAAAGTCACGTAGAAGGGAAATAATAAAATAATAAAAATAAAACATAATAAAATAATTCTCACGACGTTTCGGCCACAACGCAAGCAGCCGTCCTCAGGTGAAGACCAGGTCTGTCGGGGAGACAGCGTCTGAATGAAATACCACCAGGCTTGGCAGCGTATATTTAAGCTGGGTTGGAAGGGGGGAAGGGCGCCTTGACAAAATAATTTGCATATCAAGAGGAATTTAGCATATTTATGGGAAATGCAGATATGGGATTAGTACTACTTGTGAAATGCGTAGGAGGTGGGCGGGGGGTTTCAAAGTCATATTATGCCCATGCATTATGCAGGATTAGACATTTTTCTAGTCGGTTAATGAAAAAAAACCTACTAACTATTTATTTTTATTTTACCAAGGTAAACCCCACCGAGCTGTTAGGTATTTTTTTAAGAAGCGAAATGGCCACAAATGAAAGCTCAACGAAAGTGGCTTATCATCACGTGAACATTTACACCATTGGAACCTCATTTTCCAGTAAAAAAATATGATAATTGGTTTTTTACCCTTCTATCCGGCAACAAAACTGACACTTTTTTTTACGAGGAGTCATGTTTGCATAGACCACAATACCTGCAGTCGTAATGCAAACAAAAAACACAACTCTGATAATGTATGCACTGTCCTTTTGGCGTCATCTGGTCCAACACCATGTGAGACTAGGCTCTAAGGAAAGCTGACTTGGGTGTGGACCAATCAACTTCAAGGACAGTGCATACATTATCAAAGTTGTGTTTTTTGTTTGCATTATGACTGCAGGTATTGTGGTCTATGCAAACATGACTCCTCGTAAAAAAGGTGTCAGTTTTGTTGCCGGATAGAAGGGTAAAAAAAACAATTATCATCACGTGGACATTTATAGCAGCAGACATATACTCTAAACCAGGGGTGGGGAACGTCCGGCCCGCGGGCCGGACGAGGCCCACGAAATCATTTGGTGTGGCCCTGCCAAGGCAACTGCAGGCGGGACTCGAAATTCAATAAATGTAGGAGCAAACCTGCAAAAGCAGTTGCGAGTAGCAGCAACATCATCAATACCAGCTAACATCACACGCCTCGCCAAAGAGAAGCAGTTCCAGCCATCGCATTAGGGGCGAGTTAATTAAATGTTTGGCCAAATATAACAGGCTAATTTTTAAGTTGATAATTTTGTATGGCCCGCGAATGATGTTATAAATATCCAAATGCCCCTTGGCAGAAATAAGTATAACCCGTAAAAACAAAGTTTTTCACTCTAAATCCTTTATATGCGTGGCGGCTAGAGTCCTCTCGTCCTCTGGCTTGAGATGGCTGCCACCTATGGGTCAGATGATTGTCTGCAGTATTAAACAATTGGTAATTAAATATTTTATTTGTTTTCCCTAAACAGTGTAAAATTTAGGAAATTTTTTTTCACGAACATTAATTGTCTCGCACAACGAGTCTGTGTGCAAAATGTCAGCTCGATTGGATCACGGGAAGTGGGTTAAAAAACGACCGAAAGGTTTGCACGGTCGTAAGCAAGCACACAAGCACGCAAGCACGCAAGCAAGCAAGCGAACTTAATATAAAGGATTAAAAAAGGTTCCCCACCTCTGTCTAAACGGACGTTGATTCTAAATGTGGAGGGAAAAACCGGACGATCCAGAAAAAATTCCACGCGACCACGGTGAGAGAGAGAGAGAGAGACAGAACACGCAAACTCCAAATATATGACAGGTATCAGGAACCGGATCGAACCCACGACCTCCTGCATACCAGGTGAGGGAGATGACATCGCGTCACCGTGAGGCGCCTCGTTGTGACTTCGTTATCTCCCCGGCTCTGAATCGGCTGACTCGATTAATCACCAGGTGAGACAGACCCACTCTCCCCCCCCGCCTCCACCAAAAACAAAGACTACCCAGTTAAATGTGTGTCGTACACCCTCCGCCACTCGACACAGCCAATTAATAAAGTTGTTCACGTGACAACTGTATTGATTGGCTGCGGTCAGGCGGCAAATCAAATAAAATCATCTTCTTGGTTCTTTCGGTAAAGTCACGTAGAATGGAAATAATAAAATAATAAAAATAAAACATAATAAAATAATTCTCACGACGTTTCTATTTTATTATGTTAAATTTTTATTATTTAAATATTTCCATTCTACGTGACTTTACCGAAAGAACCAAGAAGAAACATAAAATCAATTTGCCCCGTATCATCTTAACAGACTGTTGGGGCAAGTGCTGTTAGCGAGTAGCACCGATGAAGACCGGCAAGGCACACGAGGGGGTGGGTGGCCAACACCACGCCCGGCCGCCTTTATCTCCCCAGTGGTGATATTTACACACCGCACCCAGGTACTCATTTTAGAGCTGAGTCGACCTAAGGGGGGCCCAGGACCGGTTCAGGTAATCGTCACCGGGGGACTGCAGCCAGTGACAACCATCCCGAGTTGGCCGCCGTCTTCATTGCACGGCTGCTCAGCTAAATGGGACCTGCTCCTCGCCAGCTGAGCAAGAAAAGGGCCCCGAGTTGTCTTGATGGGTCTCGACTGCGACTCACCATGGAGTGTTACAGCTGTGAGTCAGGGTCATGTATCGAACCCCCAGGTTGTAGAAGAGGCGCAGAGTCGCCAGGCTGCTGTCGATGGAGTGACCGCCCTCCACTCCGATGAGCGAAGCGATTTTCCCAGCAGCGTGGGCATCTACGATCTCTGCAACGAGAAGACGAAAACAAAATCAAGAAAATAAGTATAACCCGTAAACACAAAGTTTTCCCACTCTAAATCCTTTATATGCGTGGCGGCTAGAGTCCTCTCGTCCTCTGGCTTGAGATGGCTGCCACCTATGGGTCAGATGATGTTAGCTCGATTGGATCACGGGAAGTGGGTTAAAAAACGACCGAAAGATTTGCACGGTCGTAAGCAAGCAAGCAAGCACGCAAGCACGCAAGCAAGCGAACTTAATATAAAGGATTTAATAATGACTACGGTGCCTTTTCGGCCCAGAAGATCACAGGGCTTCATCTTGCACGAAGCTCACCGCGCATGCCCACTGCACAAACCCTGGCGGCAGCAGATGCTGATACCTGATGATGCACAAATGGAAAATAAAAAACTCCCCAGACGCGATAACGACGTATGACGACGCAACGGCCCCGGTCCACAGATACGAAGGAGACATCGCAGCGACGATGATGTCTCCTGACGAGGTTGACCACTGTGAATGCGAAATCGTAGTTTCTTTCTTGATTTGAAACTTTCACGGTAACGCGGAAAGCGCGCCCCGTTATAACGCGGTTTCTGAGCGGTCGACGGCGAACTACTTTCTCGAGCTGCGCAGGCTGAGCGGAGTGATACGGGACGCGGCGGAGTACCCCCTCGGTGCTTTGTCCCGCCATCTCGCCGTGTGTGGTGTGCCCGGTAGTAGTAGTGGTGCTGGTGGTGTTTACAGCGTATCTCCCTTAATTTGGAGCTTTCGTGAATGCAGGGATTACTCTTTTGTTATTTCGGTAAAGTCGCGTATAAAGATAACATAATAAATTAAATAAGCAATCGTCATCAGGTATAAAAGAAATAGCAACAAAAATCTAACCAGAAAACTATAGACGGACATATAAGCAGACAGATATCACAAAGATACACAGAGAGAGAACATCGTTACACGTGACTTTACCGAAAGAACCAAAGAGTACAGCGTATCTCGCCAAACATCATCGGGAAAATTTCGATTTAAAGCTTTCGTGACTGCAGGGATTCATCTTCTTGGTTCTTTCGGTAAAGTCACGTAGAAGGGAAGTAATAAAAATAATAAAAATTAAAACACTAATAAAATAATTCTCACGACGTTTCGGCCACAACGCAAGCAGCCGTCCTCAGGTGAAAACCAGGTCCGTCGAGGCGACAGAGTCTGAATGAAACAGCACACGAGCTTGGGGCATTTATATATAATCTGGGCGCCTTGACAAAGGAATTTGCATATCAAGAGGAATTTAGCATATTTATGGGAAATGCTGCAATGTCGTGAGAATTATTTTATTATGTTTTATTTTTATTATTTTATTACTTCCCTTCTACGTGACTTTACCGAAAGAACCAAGAAGATCATCGGGAAACTGACGTTTTCGCTGAACGCGTTTTTGCGCTCAGGCTCGGCACTCTCCCAGGAGTGCGATCTGCCACGTCTCGCTCACCTTGAGCCGTGGTGGCGAACGAGAAGGCATCGGGATATTTGTGGCACATTCTCTGGATGACGTCGATCTGCTCCAGTGTTTGCTGCACGGAGTCCTTGTACTGGGAGTCGCACGGCACGTAGGCTGCCCAGAACTGCACGGACAAAGACCAAGATCCCCAACCATCGTATAGCCTTAGGGGTTGTCCATAATGACATCAAGCAATTTTAGACGATTTTTGACCCCCCCCCCCCCGTCGTCACACGGTGTCACAAAAAGTCAGACCCCCCCCCCTCAAATATGACGTCACAAAGCACTGCCTCCCCCCCTACCCCCCCAAAAATAAAACATGCTTCAAATCGCTTTAAACTATTGTCATTGTAGTGCGTATTTAATGTGGCGCTGCACTCTGATGTTGTAGGAGAAACATTTATTACAGTCTATTTAATTAAGTAGAACGTGTTGTCTATATTTATTTTAAGTTGCGCATTTTTACGTGACGTCACATTTCTCAAACCCCCCCCTCCCTCGTCACACATCGTCACAAATGTCTGACCTTCCCCCCCCAGGTGCGTGACGTCATTTATGGACGGCCCTTTAACAAGACTGGTGGGGCAAGTGCTGGGAACGAGTAGCACCTGTGGAGGCCGACATGGCACGGCACACGAGGGGGTGGGGTGCCCAACACCACGCCCGGCCGTCCTTTGTCTCCCAAGTGGCGATATTTACACACCGCACCGGGTACTCATTTGAGAGCTGAGTCGACCCAGGGGAGGCCCCAGGACCGGTTCATATAATCGTCGCTTGTGTCGGCCGTGGGCCGTGAGCGGGAATCGAACTCGGGTCGCCGGGTTCAGGAGCGCAGTGCGCTAGCCACCACACTACCGCCCGCTCCACACACACAGAGATACATATTTCACCCGTATAGCCTCAACAGACTGTAGGGGCAAGTGCTGTTAGCGAGCACCTATGAAGGCCGGCACGGCACACGAGGGGGTGGGTGGCACCACGCCCGGCCGCCTTCGTCTCCCCAGTGGCGATGTTTTACACAGCGCACCGGGTACTCATTTGAGGCTGAAGTTGACCTAGCACAGACACGTGCACACACGGACACAGATTCCCAGGAGCCTCGGGCCATCGGGACAAGTTCTGTTAATACATGAAAATCATCAACTGGATGTAAGCGAGACCAGGCGGACTGTATGGGGTTGCCTAGGGTCGGATCACACATCACTCGCGTCACTGGCCTAGAATTGAACTCGAGTCGCCGGGTTCGTAGCGGAGCGCGCTAACCACTGCGCCACCGCTCCCCAATGATAAGCACAAATACAAAGATCCCCCGTGTAGCCTTAACAGACTGTTGGGGCAAGTGCTGTTAGCGAGTAGCACCTATGAATGCCTGAACGGCATACGGAGGGGGGGGGGGGAGGGGGGGGGTGGCCAGCAACCACGCCCGACCGCCTTTGTCTCCCCAGTGGCGATGTTTACACACCGCACCATGTACTCATTTGAGGCTGAGTTGACCCAAGGGAGGCCCAGGCCCGGCTCAGATAATCGTCACACTGGTGATGGCCGTGATCGAGAATTGAACTCGGGTCGCCGGGTTCGTAGCGCAGCGTAGCGCTAACCGCTACACCACCGCTCCCCCCCCCACACACACAGGTACACACACACAGGTACAGACACACACGCACACACAGGTACACACACACAGGTACACACACACAGGTACACACCCACACACACACGCACACACAGGTACACACACACATAGGTACACACATACACAGGTACACACACAGGTACACACACACAGGTACACACACACAGGTACACACACACACAGGTACACACACACACAGGTACACACACACATAGGTACACACACAGGTACACACACACACAGGTACACACACACAGGTACACACACAGGTACACACACACAGGTACACACACACATACACAGGTACACACACAGGTACATACAGGTACACACACACAGGTACACACACACATACACAGGTACACACACACAGGTACACACAGGTACACACAAACACGCGCGCGCACGCGCTCACGCAGTGAGGGTTTGTGGCCGTCTCACACCTGGGCCCCGACGTGTCCGCTGCGGAGTTTGTCGATGTTGGTGTGGGTGGTGTTGATCGTGACGAGGTCGATCTGTCCCAGCTGGTTTTTGACTTTTGCTCGAATCTGCCAAGGGAGGTCGTTGTGCCTGGGGGGGGGGGGAAACAACAACGATCCGTCATCAGTGTCGCATCGAGCCCGACGCTGACGATGCCTGCTGCTGTATATTTGGAGTTTGCGTGTCTTTCATCATCATCATCATCACCACGGTGGCGAGATGTTAACTATCTCGCCTGGTGTGCAGGAGGTCGTCGATTCGATCCCGACCCTGACGCCTGCTGCTGTATATTTGGAGTTTGTTTGTGTCTCTCTCTCATAATCATCACGGTGGCTAGGAGATGTTAACTACCTCGTCTGGTGTGCAGGAGGGCGTGGGTTCAATCCTGACCCTGACACCTGCTGCTGTATATTTGGAATTTGCGTGTCTCTCTCTCTCTCATAATCATCATCACGGTGGCTAGGTACACACACACACACACACAGGTACACACACACAGGTACACACACAGGTACACACATACACACATACACAAGTACACACACACAGGTACACACACAGAGGTACACACACAGGTACACACATACACAGGTACACACATACACAGGTACACACACACAGGTACACACACACAGGTACACACACACAAGTACACACACAGGTACACACACACAGAGGTACACACACAGATACACACACACAGGTACACACACACACAGGTACACACACACAGGTACACACACAGGTACACACACACACAGGTACACACACAGGTACACATACATAGGTACACACACAGGTACACACACACACAGGTACAAACACACAGGTACACACACACAGGTACACACACACAGGTACACACACAGGTACACACACACAGGTACACACACAGGTACACACACACAGGTACACACACACACACAGGTACAAACACACAGGTACACACACACACACAGGTACACACACACACACACAGGTACACACACACAGGTACACACACACAGGTACAAACACACAGGTACACACACACAGGCACACACACAAACACACAGGTACACACACACAGGTACACACACACACAGGTACAGCTCGCAGCAGACATCGCAGCTGTCGCGATTCTCACCTGAAGACGAGCGCTCGTGTTGCGTCCGAAACGTCGTGATTTATTTGAGTTCATTTCTACCTTCGTGACTTTACCGAAAGAACCAACGAGTATGGATTCCTGCAGTCACGAAAGCTTCAAATCAAGGTTGTAACTTACCCGTCAATGAGTGGAACTTCCTCCATGAGCCGCACCGCCCTCTCCAAGTCCGTCTGTGCGTTTGTCGTGCCGCAAAAGAGAATCAGCGTCGTCGTCAGCAGCGTCCCGAAGTAGAACGCAGACATCGCGGCTTCAAGGTGTCCGAATCCTCTAAAATTGGGCGAACAAATTGAACCAAGGCTGACCACGAAATTCGTGTCGGTTATGAGTCCTTCCGCACGGATGTGTCCCCTCTGTGCAAAGACAAAAAAACACGAAGATTTCTCCCGTATAGCCTGTAACAGACTGTTGGGGCAAGCGCTGTTAGCGAGCACCTATGAAGTTCGGAACGACACACGCAGGGGATGGGTGGCCAGCACCACGCCCGAACGCCTTTGTCTCCCTAGTGGTGATGTTTCACACACTGAACCAGATACTCATCGGAGGCTGAGTCGACCTAGAGGAGCCCCAGAACCGGTTCAAATAATCGTCACTGGTGTTGGCCGTGAGCGGGGCTCGAACTCGTGTCGCCGGGTTCATTGAGCAGCGCTCTAATCACTCTACACGCACACACATTATATAGGCGGCGGTGCTGTTTCACCTCTAAGGCTGCGTCGTAAACAATTATCTTTCTCCGTTAATGTGTTATCCATTTATATACATCGCATGGGCTGTGGATTGTCCATCGATTGCAAATTTAAGTGCATGGGCGGACGGGTGAATGTGTAACGGGTTCCGGAGACACTTGTAGAGGTAACTTCTTTATTACAATCCAACACTCCAACTCCACAACACTCCTGATACTCTGTTACAGCCTAGGTACACAGCCTAGGTACACAGCCTAGATACTCTACTCTGGCTACGCTCTGGAACTCGCCCTCACAAGGTCGTAGCGTCGGGAGTTCCAGAGTCCCACCACCGGCTCTCACAACATCCCAGGGTCCTCAGATGGCTGGTCTTGTGTCTTGGGTCTTGAGCTACGACTGGACCTGATTCGTCCAGGGAGCTCCCCCTTTTATGCCTAGTCCCCAACGAGGGGTGGGGCCGTGTGCGCCCCCAGATATCCCACAGAGCACACACAGCCCCCCCCCCCCCGTTGGTGGCGCCAAGCGGCTTAAGCGCCTGGGCCGCCCAGGGTCCCAGAGCCCCCAGCAGCTCCTCCCTTCTTATGTCACTACAAATGTATCACAAGTCCCCGTGCGGAGGGAGGACTTCTTCTTGTTCTTTCTCATGGATTCAGAGCAGCAGATTCGAGATGTGATTGTAGACGTTGTTGACAATACAGGTTGCTTCGGGTTAGATCGCGTTAATGTATAAAAGTGTCGTTAAACTCGCCACCACCCGACACAGCCAATTTAGTAAGGTTTGTCACGTAAACAGAGCGTGTCTTATTCGTCACTAGCACACCGCTGTGTTGGAGAGCAAAGCCACAACAACGTTTACAATCATTGGAAACTCCTTTGTCAGTAGCAAAATATGATAATTGGTTTTTTACCCTTTTATCTGGCAACAAAATTGACACCTTTTTTTACAAGGAGTCATGTGTGCATTGACCACAATACCTGCGGTCAGAATGCAAACAAAAAACACAACTCTGATAATGAATGCACTGTCCTTGAAATTGATTGGTTCACACCTGAGACAGCTTTTCTTAGAGCCTAGTCTCACATGGTGTTGGACCAGATGACGCCAAAAGGCGCACAACTCAAAGACAATGCACCATCAGAGTATGAGAGCTCGGGGTAAGCATTTACACCATTGGGACCTCCTTTGCCAGTAGCAAAATATGATAATTGTTTTTTCTACCCTTTCATCTGGCAACAAAACTGACACCTTTTTTTTACAAGGAGTCATGTTTTCATTGACCACAATACCTGCGGTCGGAATGCAAACAAAAAACAAAAAAGTGTCAGTTTTGTTGCCAGATAAAAGGGTAAAAAAAACAATTATCATATTGCTACTGGCAAAGGAAGTTCCAATGGTGTAAACGTTAACAATCTGGAGTACGACGTTTCGCCGGTAATTACAACCAGCTTCATCAGGCAACAGTCAGGTGTTGTTACCCACTCAATTGTCCTGGTTCAGACGCCGAGTGGAACTCGTCTGTCCCCCCCGTTAGAGGAGTGAATGTGGCAGCGGCTGGTTGCGATTCGGGTCGATCGTTCGGGATTGTCGAAATTCCACATTCCTATGGATGGAGAAAGGTCGTTTTTAAATCCTTTATATTCAGTTCGCTTGCTTGCTTGCGTGCTTGCTTGCTTGCTTACGACCGTGCAAATCTTTTGGTCGTTTTTTAACCCACTTCCCGTGTTCCAATCGAGCTGACATTTTGCACACAGACTGGTTGTGCTAGACAATTAATGTTCGTGAAAAAAACATTTCCAAAATTTTACACTGTTTAGGGAAAACAAATTAAATATTTAATTACCAATTGCTTAATACTGGCAGACAATCATCTGACCCATAGGTGGCAGCCATCTCAAGCCAGAGGACGAGAGGACTCTAGCCGCCACGCATGTAAAGGATTTATAGTGAAAAACTTTGTTTTTACGAGTTATACTTATTTGTTGTTTTTCTCTCTGCCATATGTGTTTTTTTGGGCACAAACCCCAGAACCAGTGCAACTGTGCTCACTTTTTACTGCGCAGGAGTCTGGGACAGGTTTAACGTTCCGTAAATGCTACGACACAGTACAGAACACACCCATTTAGGACTCCCAGTTTCTGAAATAAAATCGCTTTTACGGTGTGCGCTATTACGCCATCAAAAGAAAGGCATTTAACGCGGTTTGGGAAGGCTGTCATTTACCGTAGCCTTGAAAAGGTAAAAAAAAAGGTTCCAATTGTTTAACGCGCACGGATACGTACATTCAGAGGCGTGGGAAACCACGGGCGAGTGGCAGCCCTAACCAGCGCCAACAATCGCCCAAGCTCTGCCATCCTATATTAGGACGTTTGACCAACTCCATGAATGTGTGAGGAAATCCGAGTGACCAGGTTAAAAACCCACGGGGATATGAAAGCGGGACCCCCCATCCCCCGCCTCTGTCTCGTACAGCTTGAACAGATGGAGATTAGTCCACTTTCACCTGGTAAGCCGCCAGGGTTGGTATGGCCACGCGAGTTTCACGAGAATCTGTGCGATGAGCCACCAACCATGGCTGCCGCATCCACAGTGCTGGGTTACAGACAGCCACGTTCAGCGTAGGCCACCACCACGACCACCACCACCACCACCACCGCCACCACCACCACCACGACCACCACGACCACCACGACCACCACCACGACCACCACCGCAACCACCACCACCACCACGACCACCACCACCACCACCACCACAACGACCACCACCACCACCACAGCCACCACCACCACCACCACCACCGCCACCACCACCACAACCACCACCACGATCACCACCACCACCACCACGATCACCACCACCACCACGACCAGCACAACCACTACCACCACGACCACCACCACGACCACGACCACCACCACAACCACCTCCACCACCACCACCACCACCACGACCACCACGACCACCACCACCACCACCACCACGACCACCACCACCACCACGACCACCACCACCACCACCACGACCACCACCACCACGACCACCACCACAACCACTACCTCCACCACGACCACCACCACCACGACCACCACCACAACCACTACCACCACCACAACCACTACCACCACCACCACGACCACCACCACAACCACTACCACCACCACAACCACTACCACCACCACCACGACCACCACCACAACCACTACCACCACCACGACCACCACCACCACGACCACCACCACAACCACTACCACCACCACCACGACCACCACCACCACGACCACCACCACAACCACTACCACCACCACCACCACCGCCGTATTATTCAATAGGCGACAGTAGGCACCGGGCCTCGGGTCTACGAAAACCGAAATGGACTACGACATTTTTGTTGTTGTTTGTATGATACATTTATTTTTTTTAACCAAGATATCTTCTTGAATAACGATAGGCACAGAGTAAATACAAAGAGGCAGAGTCTTACCAATGTCAATCTTTTTTTTCTGAAGATCAGAGAAATTAAGCACGGGTCGATTAACTTTTCGAGATAATTAAAATGCAAAATTCGCAACAACAACTTCAAATGATGTTATTTTTCCCCCGCACAATCAAGTGACAGCGGCGGTCATCGCAGTGACATATGGGGCAGCAGCAGCACCGATACTCTAGAGGGTTTATCACCGAACGCCACAGACTTGCTCTAGGGCCCACAAGAACATTTATCCGGCCCTGCCCGAAGCCGCCTCCCCGTGCTTCAGAAAATTCAAGACGCTTCAGACGGGTTTACAATGGCTAACCGGGAGATGCCGAGCCGGGCACAGCAGCTGAAATCCTTGGATCCGAATCCAGATTTAAAATATTCCCCAGCGCGATTGAAACCGGCCCCTTTTCGAGTGCAGCGAAATTTTGACCGGTCACCTGAAAATGCCCACGTACCCGAATGTTACTAATAGGGGTTTCCCCCTTTTTTTCTGGCAACAAAACTGACACCTTTTGCAAGGAATCATATTTACATAAACCACAATACTTGCAGTCAAATGCAAACGAAAAACAATACTCTGCTAATTTATGCACTGTCCTTGAAACTGATTGGTCCACACCAGAGACAGCTTTTCTTAGAGCCTAGTCTCATATGGTGTTCGACCAGATGACGCCAAAAGGCGCACGCAAGTATTGTGGTTAATGTAAATATGATTCCTTGCAAAAGGTGTCAGTTTTGTTGCCAAAAAAATAGGAGAAACCATATTAGTATATTTTGGTACTGGCAAAGGAGGCCTCATGATGATACCCGAATGTTACTTAAAAAAATTAACCCGTAAAAACAAAGTTTTTCACTATAAATCCTTTATATGCGTGGCGGCTAGAGTCCTCTCGTCCTCTGGCTTGAGATGGCTGCCACCTATGGGTCAGATGATTGCATGGCACCATTAAGCAATTGGTAATTAAATACAATATTTTTGTCCTAAAAAGTGTAAAATTGTGGAACAAAAATTTCACGAACATTAATTGTCACGCACAACGAGTCTGTGTGGAAAATGTCAGCTCGATTGGATCACGGGAAGTGGGTTAAAAATACGACCGAAAGATTTGCACGGTCCTAAGCAAGCAAGCGAACTTAATATAAAGGATTTAAAAATAAACCACAAGCCACCCGTCTACTTATCTGGCCAATCTCTTAAGACGCGTTCACAAATGACAATGTACTAAACTTGCCACAGCCAGTGCAAAGGGCACGCTCGAGATTGGGGCGATGGCGCAGTTAAATTGTTCCGACCTCGACTCGAGTTCATCTCCTGGCAATGGCTGCGATTCGTTGGGTGCCGAATGGCTTTAATCTAAGTTGTCTTGTGGTTGTTGTTGTTTGACTTGCATCCCACTGGGATTTTTGCACACAGCGTTGGTGTACGGTGCCTTTTTTCTGGAAGACTTTGCAGTTTTTTCCTGGCATTTTCTGTTTGCGCATAGTCACTTTAAGATGTTTTCTTGTTCATGTTTTTGTTTTTTGCTTGTTGCGGTTGCACCCCATTCAAGAGCCGAATGGCTCACAGGGCTAGGCCTAATAAATGAAACTTAAAACTGAAACTGAGTGACATCTGAACCTCTTCTCCATTGACCGTCACCATCACCGCCCCCGCAGCGACCAGCAAAACGTCACTCGGTTGTGAGCTGATGCGGTCTAGGCCCAGCCGGATCAATCGATCGATCAATACAATCTAGACTTCTCATCGCTTCACCAGAGGTTCCCCCCCCCCCCCCCCCACCGCTAGCCGTCGCCAATTGTGCAGCGTTACATTTGGGAAGTTCGCTTCATCTGGCAAACCCCAGCTCCCGAGAATTCTAAAGCTCGGTTTGATCGGTTTGACCGCCAGCCACGCGATGAACATTTCTCTCCG